TTGATGGTTTGGGATTTTTGTTCTTCGTTTGGTAGGCTTTTGCACTTGTGGCCATTCTCTCTTGAAGATTTTGAGAATGCTATCTGCCACAAGATGGGCAATTTGATTCTTCTTGTGGAAACTCATTCGGCTCTTCTCCGGTTGCTCATGAAAGATAATGACGAATATTCTTCAACCATACGGAAAAGAAATCGAAAGTTGAAGGTGATACGCCACTTGCAATCTATTATTTGAATATCTATGTCAATAGAATCCTTGTTTCTTATTCCTGTTCTTTTCCTTGGCCATATATTTTTTGGAATTTATGCCCTTCTGATTTCTTTCTTATATATATTTTTGTTTGATTGTTCTTTTTAATTTCAGATAACTCTAATTATGTTTGATTGTTCTTTTTAATTTCAGATAACTCTAATTACTTGGACAGAGTATTTGTGCGATTTTCTGGATATGGTGAACAGTTCTGAGTTACGTGGTTACATAGCAACTATCAAGCGGGGGCATTATGGCATTTTAGATGCTCATGCTAAATTGCTAATCTTGCGAGAATTGGTCAGTCATGCACTTGAAACAAATACTCTAAGGGAGAAGTTGGCTAAGTTTGTTGAACAGAGGCAGGCACTTGGAGCCACAATAAGGGGGGAAGCATTGGAGGAAGCTAGAAAGAAAAGAGAAGAGAAGGATCGTTTGAAAGCAGAGTATGATCCCAATCAAGTTGTGGATTTGGAGAGTAATGGAAGTGCATCAACAAATGGTAATCATATGAGACAGAACGGAGACATAGTAAAGAAAAGAAATGGTGAAATCCAAACATCAAGACAGAATTGTGCATCAGAGAAAAGGTCTTGATTCTGCTACAACCCTTCATTGATATGCGTGTGTATGTGTATCATAATGATTTTCTTATGGGTTCAGGTTTAACAATGTCTTTTTTCATTTCTAATAGTGAGAGCAATCAAATTGACAATGCACCAAAGAAAACAGCCAGGAAACAGAACTTGGAAGTGGACATCCCAATACCCAATGGGAAGGGTTTATCTGAGAAGGACCCACATGAACGATCAAGGGATGATAGAAAGGAAGTCACCGGAATGAAAAGCAAAGAACAGAGGGTTTGATCTCTCTCCTTATTCAGTTCTTTTCTGTGCCTGTGTTTCTGTTCTTGCCTTCTTATGAAACTGCTTACTACAGAAGGAATATTATGAGCGGGAGATTGAGAAGCGGGTTATACGTACCAATTCCTTGGGTAAAGACCGAAATTATAACAGATATTGGTGGTTCCAGCGTGATGGAAGAATATTTGTTGAGAGTTCTGACTCCAAGCAGTGGGGGTATTACAGTAGTAAGGAAGAGGTATTCAGCTGTTAATATTTTACTAATTGGTTGTGTTCATTTTCTCTCGTTTTCTCTCTTTATTGTTAAATTTGTTTTCTACTTGACATTTTTGAACAGCTGTATTTGTTGATCGGCTCGCTGAATTGCAAGGGTGAGAGAGAGAGGGCACTTAAAAAGCAGCTGGAAAAATTCAATAGCAGAATATGGTTAGTCTTCATTCCCTCTTGCTGTTGATGCTCCTGGCATGAACACACAATTAAATACCCTTTCTGTCTTTGGAAAAACTTTGAGATTTATGGCCAGCATGTCAGCATGTATATGATGGATTAATGTCAAACATTCAAATCCTGATTTAAGAATGATTACATAAAGGTTCAATTGATAAGGTAGAGCAAATGATGATTGGGGCCGGCCCCAATAATGTGATCACTAAGGCTCTTGAGAGATATGAGTTAAGAATAAAAGAGGCACACCTTTCTGTTGTTAATTCAAATAGTTTTGGTAGGATGCTGTGTTGAATCCTCAAATTAGTCGGAACACATTGACGACTCCTAATAGAATTGAGGAGTTATACCCCGTAGGGAAAAATATATTTTGAAATTGTCCCTTATATTATAATTTAAATTGCATCACTTTTGTTGTCGGCTAGTTTTGTTGCCCCGTCCCTTTTGTTATTAATGGCAGCAGTAGTGTGATATTTCAGTAGGAGCAATTCAGCCACGTATATTTCGCGTTTATCTGATTAGTTTTGGTTTGAAATGCAATTTTTCACAGCCTGGAAATGGAAAAGAGATCAAGGGACTTGGTTCAAGAGGTTGCATTGGAGGAAGCAGTGCTGCGAAGGTCTTCTCGTGTAAGAGCCCCACCGAAGAAAAATCCTGCTAATGCTTTCCTAGAGTACGTTAACAAGTGGAAGGAAGACTAATTGAGCTCCCATTTTCGGCTTTTCTCTTTTCGATTTTTGAGTCCATTAGCCTAGTGATTGCCTGGCTTTGGGGAGTATCTCTGGAGTTGAGGGGGGGCCAAGGAAAGCGGTGACGGATAAGTAGGAAGGTAGGAAGGAGAGGAATAGGGATGGAGCAATTTTCTTTTGTTACTGTCAATTTTTTGGTATCCATTCCTCTAGCAGTTCAAGTAGACAGACTTGTATTTTTTTGCTCAATCCTCAATTTGAGCAAATACTCAATTTCTACACTCTGAGGGATCAAATTATGAGGTTATGGTCATTGCTTCTTTGAAAATTTCCATACTCGGTTTCTATAAATGAGTCGAACCTGAGATCTCTATCTTATTTGTTCGTATTTGGCCCGCGTAGTAGCCACCCCCTACCGACCTACGTTGATATTATTATCTGGTCCTTGGTTGAATGATTCTACCAATTTTAAGATGGTTATGGCCCTAAAGTCGAACTTGATGATTCTTGATTGATCAATCCAATCTGGTTCTGGACCGCATATTACATTTAGCTTGGGTCTTGATGTCTAAGTGTAACCAACCCTTTACATTTATTCGTACACGTGGATTGTATTAATGTAGAGGGGGGTGAATAGGTTATACGTATTTTCATAACCAATTTTAAAAGTTTTGACAACTTCGACAACAAGAAACGAATTTAGAGTGCACAACAATTTAACAAGATAAAACCCCATCACTTTGGGAAAGCACTTAGCCAATCAGAAGATAATTCACTAGTAATGAAATCACGAACACAGAACTCGACGCAACACGACATTGGACATGAGTTTCAAACGCCGTGGAGCATGAATCATAAACTTTAATCTCTCATGAGGTGCCTGACTTTTATCATAAGTCTGCCACAATTAAAATAAAATTTAAAGACAAAATGCTTCACGTGCGTCAAATTATAATCTTTAGAGTGTTTTGCAAACTTTTTTTCATTAAGTGGTTCGAAAAATTGACGTTTAAATTTTATATATAGATATCTAAAGAATATTTGTAAATAAAATCTTACATAATATTCATACGTACCATCATAGCTGAATTTCTAGTTTAATTGTGTGGTAAATTTACGTGAAAAGTCAAGTAGAGTAAACAAAGAATTCACGTGTTTGTAATAGGACATCACATTTAGTAGATCATTTTGTATTACGCGAAAGTGACCTTCATAGATAAGATTGCTTTAAGCCGGATAATACTTTAGCATGCAGTGTAAACATTTTCTTGTAGAATTTAGAGAGTTCTAACGAAAAGCCCGTGGTACTGTTCACTTTAACGAAAAATCACATTTTTACACTAAAAAGTCAAACTTGATACTATTCATTTTACCCTTTATTTTATCCTTATTGTTAAAACTCAAAGTTTTCAAGCCATTTTTATTAGTTTTCCTTAAAATTTAATGAAATTCCTTTGAAAAAAAAAAACACAAAATATAGACAGAATGGGAAACTTTGTTTTGAGAAACGAGGTCACAAGGATGTCAAGAAAAACTTGCTGAGTGATCTACAACCGCACATTATCACATACTGCAAGATGGAAGAAACTGGATAAGGATCATTTCTAGATCTTCTTTGTGGGGATTCAAATATCAATCAATCGTGTATGTTTATCGTATATTGTGCAATCAATTTTTGTTAGGTACTATTTATCTTCAATTTAAAATTTAAAATTTAAAATAATTTTTAATCGCATAATGTACAATAAATGAACATGATTGATTAATCATCTAGATCTTCACGAAAAAAATTAGGAGAGGATCGTATTCCGCAGAAACTACCTTTACAGAATCTGGAATCTGCAATCGCTAGTATTGGCCATAACTTTGAGAGGTCACATCACTATCACTATGAGTAATTAATTGATTGTATCCGTTGCTAGTTGTGAAGGATTTACCATACAAAATGTTTATATTATAATTTATTATACAAAGATATTTTGACAAAATTAATAAAATATAAAATTATTTAGTTATTGAATTGATAAAAATAAATAGTCGAAATCAGTAAAAGAAATTAAGCGTCTGTATATTTATTACAACTAATTAACTAGTTTTTAATTGATTTTTCTAAAAAGATACTTTTTAGAAGGTGTTTTATAATAGAGTAAATTGTAGCAATGGTCCCTCAACTTTAATCAAATTGAAGCAATGGTCCCTAACTAAAAATTCATTACCATTGGTCCCTCAACTTATCAAAATGTGTAGTTATAGTCATTTTCATCAATTTCGTCAAAATTTTGTCAAAATAAGTTATGTTGGAATAACCATTTATATAATTAGAGTCCCTCAACTCATCAAAGTGTGTAATTATGGTCATTTTTCGTCAACTACGTCAAATTTTTTGTTAAAACGAATTATGTTGGAATGACCATTGCTACAATTGGGTTTAAGTTAAGAGACCATTTCTCTAGTTGAATTAAAGTCGAGGGACCAATAATAATAGATTTTTAGTTGATGGACCATAGCTGCATATTTTGATGAGTTGAGGGACCAATGGTAATGAATTTTTAATTGAGGGATCATTGCTCCAATTGAGTTAAAGTTAAGAGACCATAGCTACAATTTACTCTTTATAATATAATTGGTTCATAAAATGTTTGGTGAACCGATGTTCTTGCGTACGAATTCCTCCACACTTTTTTTTCTGGAGCCAAGTATATCCAAATAGGGGAAATCTAGCACCCTATATACCCCTCATTCCTGAGTCAATCACCAAAAAGGGCAAAAAGCACTAGTGGATACACATATACATATACATACACACAGGTATATACACATGTATATACATCTAATATATATACATACACATATATATGTATAGATACTAGTCCTGTGCATTAGGACATTGGAGGAGGGGACTTACCAGTTGGAATGAGGCCCAGTCGTCACAAACCAGTTTCAACTTTATCCTCCATTTTAGTGGGATTAATACTCGTAGTAACTTTGGCAGTAATTTTGTTGGCAATCTCAAGCGCCTTCTCATCTTCTTCTTCTTCAGAGATAACATCGACAGTAGCTGCTGCTTCAGCAGCAACTGGAGACTCTCTTCCTGCTTTATCATCCGCTCAACCACAACCTCCACTCCTAACTACAGCGGCCGCAGCTCCTGCTCCTGCTCCTGCTCCTTCTCCTGCCCCTCAAATATTAGTGAGTCGCGCTCTCTCTCTCTCTCTCTCGCTCTCTCTCTCTCTCGCTCTCAATTTTCTTAATTATATATCTCAAGTTAATCTGGTGTTTTGTTGATTAGGCAGCTGATGTGTTGCAAGAGACGATAATCCAGAAAGTAGAGGGAGATGCAACTAATTATACAGCTAAAAAGAATGATGACGTTGCTAATAGAACAGTGTTCATCAGCGGCAGCCAGCTTGATAAAGTAGAAGCAAGTTTGGGTAGAGCAAGGTCTTCCATAAGAGAAGCTGCTCTAGTTAGGAATAAAACATCTACACATCAAGACCCTGATTATGTTCCTCGAGGTCCCATATATCGCAACCCTAACGCCTTCCACAGGTATACGTTTCTTAGAGAAAAATCGACTTCGATTAATTAGTAATTCAAATTCAAATTCACAGTCAAGCTTGCATATGAAATTATTAATAAATATTTAGGAGTTATTGAATAACCATTTCGTTTTCACTAAAACGTGAAAACCAAAAAGTGAAAAAAAATTCTTATATTTTCAAAGTTAAGTTTTCATTTTTTTCAAAATAATAAAACTAAACTTCCTTCTTGAGTTTTCAAATTTTAGTTTTAAATTTTCAGTTTTTTTTTTTAAACCGAAAATAGTTACCAAACAAGTAAAAATTACGAAATGGTTATCAAACAGACTCTTAATAGATTAGTTGTTGTTATATATATCATAAAAAAAAAAAAATGGAAAATGGCATGCAGGAGTTACCTAGAGATGGAGAAAGTGTTCAAGATCTACGTATACGAAGAAGGAGAGGTTCCAATATTTCACGACGGACCATGCAGGAGTATATATTCATCGGAGGGAAGGTTTATTCATGAGATGGAGAAGGGCAAAATGTACCGTACAAAAGACCCTCACAAGGCACTTGTTTATTTCCTTCCATTCAGTGTGGTTAACATGGTTCAGTATATCTATATGCCTGAAACCTTTGATCGAAGTGGCATGAAGCGTGCTGTGGTCGACTACATCAATCTCATCTCTCACAAACATCCCTTCTGGAATCGAAGCCTCGGTGCCGATCATTTCATGTTGTCCTGTCACGATTGGGTAGGTATCTCACCTCTGTTAATGACCTTCTACATACAATATGGGAGGCTAAATAAATTTAAAAAAAAAATACTTGATTTTTATTGGATAATACTTGCATACTCCTATTGCGAATAACGTTCTTGATTATACAAATTTCATAATCGAAATTGTTCAATTTGTTAATCTTCATTTGGAGATCACCCCTACAAAATCATTTCAATAGAAGATCATTTAGTCATTAAAATGTATGGAACAAATGGACAATGTAGGTACAAAGTAACATATTCATGATAACCCGTCCATTTATTTAATACATTTAATTAGATGATTAAATGATCTCGAATTCAAATTTTTTTATTTATAAGATTGATCTTCAAATGAAAATTAATAAACTGAACAGTTCCGATCGTTGATTCTATTCGATCAAGATATATTATTCACAAATGAAAGTATAAGTGCATCTTCATATTGGGATGCAAAAGTCACTTGAATTTTTTTTTTCTTTTTAACTACCAACCCCTTGCTTAATAGTAAAATAACCGTTTTCATAAAAAATAGTAAAATAACCGTTTATTAGCTTCCAAATGCATACAAGGCCAATACCTGCACGCAATCTGACAATCCTCTCATTTTCTCATTTGTCTTCCTCTATGTCTCTTTCATTTTGCATGTAAAGGGCCACCACTGCAATTTGTGGTTTAGAGATATCTAGCTAGCCACCCACCTTATATGATTATATTCTCTTTGATAGAAAAAATAAAAATTAGTCACGATGGAAGACTTAAGTAGGAATTACTAAAGTTTTAGGTCGTTCTAGAGTATGGAATATTCCGGATCTTAATTAATTTTAAACAAAGGTTTAAAACATTTGGAGTATTCTCATATATACGATTGTATAATGGTTAATATTTAGTAGTGACTAGTCCAATTGCGATGGCGATGTCAACGTGGCACCAAACTTCAATTTCACGAGGGTTGAAACTTCCTTTAGGAATGTGGTGTGTGGGGGGAGCACTTCATACATCGAATAATAATATTCTTCTTTGTTTCTTTTCTGGTATATCTCTGACTTTATGTGGTGTCTATTATCTGTATTTATTTTAATTTTATTTTCTAGTTAACACGTATTAACAAAATGCCAATCATTCTTACAAGATATATAATTATTATTGACCTCAACCGATGTCTTTATCCCAACATCATCACTCAATTATTTTTCTTTCATAGAAAATAGAATATCTCTCATGATTATTATCGTTATTTATTTTGCAAAAAGATTATTATCATTATTAATGAACTATTAGAAAACTCATTTTCTTAATTGTTTTGCTTTATTAAGTTGTTAAATATTTTAAACATATAGATCTAAACTAATATACTCTTGTGGTTAATATGCATTTGGTCCTCAGAGGTCCGACTTTAGGAGACTGCAATTTTAATATTTTTATTTGGTTGTGGCAAATTTGCAAGTCCTTTACCAAAACAAAATTTCAAAATTCATATTTTAGAAATTAGGAAGTGTTTGTTTGTGGTACCAGCAATACAATACAGAGACTTTCTTTATCAAGTGGCAAGTGCCTTAGTGGCCATTGTCCTTTTCCGTATCCGATGTTTTTCTTTTTCTCTTTTTACTTCGAAATTTCTGTGGGAAATGCACAATAATAACACCTTTTGAATGAGCTCCTACAAAATTGACGTTGGTACAAAAACGGCTATCTATATTCAGTAAATGTTTCATATCCATATTTGGTAGATATTGATAATATAGAGTTGCTATTTGCATATTTATATATAACGTCGATATTTGGTTGCAATATAATTGTCATTGCGTTGATATTTGGTTGCAACATCGTCCTGCACGCCGTTTGAGTTGCTCCTTCGAGTCATTTTTGTCGTCGGTACAATTTGATGTAATTTTGTAAGTGCTTGTTTTAAAGGTGTACTGTGCATTTCCTTTTTCTTTTTTTTTCTTTTTTTTCGATTTGAATGCTATTATTGACATTCAAAAATCTCATTGTGCACTCTAAACATTCTATATTTATAAAGAAAAATATATTTACGAGAAGTGTGGAATACAATTTTTAGGATATCCATAATAGCAATCTTTGATTTTGTTTTTTTTTGTTTTTAAATTAAAAAACAAATATTTGAACGCTGAATATATTCTAATCTTAACATTCACTCTGCCTCACGAATCACGACTGACCTTTCCCTTCATTTTTGTTATATCTTCAGTTAATTGGATCGTTATAATAGAACACACCTCAACTAATTAAGGTCTAAATCAAATTTATTAGTTGAAATATTACATTTTGTTTCTTCTAGTTCTCTTATTGCTAAGTTCGATGGTTTGAGTGTATTAGTTGGTTGATGATATAATTGAGCCCTTGTTCATTTTACAGGGACCAACTACGACGTCCTTCGTCCCCGACTTATTCCACAACTCCATCAGAGTTTTGTGCAATGCGAACACTTCAGAAGGATTCAATCCATTGAAAGATGCGTCATTTCCAGAGATTAATTTGAAAACATCGGAGATGCCAGGAATTGGCGGTCGGCCTCCATCGAAGCGATCCACACTAGCTTTCTTTGCAGGGCGTCTACACGGCCACATCAGGTACCTTCTCCTAAACGAATGGAAAGGCAAAGACCAAGATGTGCAAGTTTATGACCAACTTCCTCGGAGAGTGTCGTACGAGAACATGCTCAAGAGTAGCAAGTTTTGCTTATGCCCTAGCGGGTACGAAGTGGCAAGTCCAAGAGTGGTGGAAGCAATTTATGCCGAGTGTGTGCCGGTGTTGATTTCAGATGGTTATGTTCCTCCATTCAGCGATGTTTTGAACTGGAAGTCATTTTCTGTACAAATTCCGGTCAAGAATATATCCGACATCAAGACCATATTGACAGCCATATCGAGCAGACAGTACCTCCGAATGCAGAGGAGGGTGAAACAAGTGACGACATTTTTTGGTGAATGGACCCCCGAAGAGATACGATGTTTTCCACATGATTGTTCACTCCATCTGGCTCAGACGATTAAACATTCGCATTCAAGATGTATTCACCTAATTGAGTTCATCTATTTAATTAATAAAAGAGATATTTTGGATGCAATCCCTAATCTTTAGCATTCTTTGACTAAAACCTTAATGATATTCTAAGTTTGATCAAAATCCCTTGACTTTGTACACCTCATTATATTACAATTAATATTTATATTTTTATAGTTTTGACATTAATTGTTTGATATTTTAAGAGATTTATAATCCTATAAATTTAAAATCCCTCATTATAATACTATTAGAAACGGTTACGATAAAAAAATTCTAACATTTTGATTGAATAAATGGATAAAAACTATGTAAAAATAAGAAATAATAAATGGCAAAAGAATGTATTCATAGTGTTAAAAACATTGGTACATTTCACATATAACAAGGTGGTACATTAATAAAGAAGAGTGGGTACATTATAAATAAATTAGGGTACAAATAAAAGATTAAAAAATATAGGCGCTAAAAAAAATTAATACACGGGTACAAAATAAAACTAAAAAGAAAATACTACAAATTTAAAAAAAAATGTTGCAAATTAAAAATGGGTACAAACTAAAAATATAAATATATGATACAAAGTTTAGGCATAAACATAAATATACCATATGTAATTTTTCTATTATTAATTAAATATACAATATCACGTGACGGTATACACATGGATACAAATACAAATAAAACTTTAAAAAATATGGGCACAAAAAGAAACTAATATATGGGTACAAATTAAAAATGAAAAAAAAAATTGGTACAAATTAAAAATAGGTACAAACTAAAAATGAAAATATATGATAAAAAATTTACCATAAATATACTAATTGTAACATTTTTAACACTAAAGGAATATATTTAAAAATAAAAATATTTTATTATTCAAATAATTAATGATGTTATTAATATCCAAGAACCTTAATAAAAAATTGAAAAGAATAGGATTTTAATCAATGAAATTCCTTCAAGATGTTTTCCACATGGTTGTTACTGCACATATATCATCCGATTGTCTTACGAGGACCTATGCGTACACGTACGTCTAACAAAAAAAGTTCGACGCAGGCAGTTGCGGGCACATAAGCTGTTAACAAATTTTCAGACATAATATAATTATATAGAGATATATATTCATAATACAAACCTGAGGCCATAAGATATAAGATCATATATGAAACATGTGATCAAATATGGAAGAAGCCTCGGCAGCTATATTCTCCAGCTTTCTACCATACTAACAGATCAGAAACCCTCACCATATCAACTATCAATATATAAAGAAAAAAACTTAAGAAGCTTTCTACCATACTAACAGATCAGAAACCGTCACCATATCAACTATCAATATATAAAGAAAAAAACTTAAGAAAATAAAAACCTGGTCAGACAAGGCACTCCTCGAGTACAACAGTCAATCAATCCATGCTTCCACTGCGAGAGCTACTGGCATTGCGACTAGGTAACGAGAGACCCCTCGCATGGCCAGCCAAACCAGAACCAATGTCCTGGTTTCCTGGAAGTATTTTTCCCTCTCATTTTCTTCTACCCCCATCCAAAACTGTTTCTTCCTATTCCAAACAAAATCAGATGGCTAAAATATTTGTATTAGTAATTGTTGTAAGATTGAAGCATATTTAATAATTTTTCATTATTTATCAGATTCTAATTATTTTTAAGTTAAAATGTTCATAATAATATAAATTAGGATAATCTACATAAATTTATTTTTAAAGAAGTTAACTGCAAAAAAAAAAAGGTCTAAATTTATTCTTCAATAATCTCGGGCAAATATTTTAAATCCAAAACCATTGGAGGATAAAAACTGTTTTTATGGGTTAAAGCTTAAATTTTTTAGGCTAAAAATTTAGTATTGAACCCATAAAAACAGTTTTTATCCTCCAATGGTTTTGGCTTGAAATTCAGTATTTAACCTCAACCAGTAGAGTTGGTCTTAGTGGATACGTATGGATAGGATATGTATATATGGATACTAGTGCTGTGCATGTTTGGTGGATGTATATGGAGCTAGCCTTTAAGGAATTAGCTAGGACACTAGGAAGAGATTATCAGCTGGAGAAAAATGAGGCCCAGTCGTAACAAACCAGTTTCATCTTTATCCTCGATTTTAGTGGGATTAATACTCGTATTAACTTTGGCAGTATCTTTGTTGGTAATCTCAAGGGCTTCTTCCTCCTCCTCCTCATCTTCGTCTTCTTCAGAGACAACATGGAAAGTAGCTGCAGCTTCAGCTGGTGGTAGTAGTGATATTAATACTACTACTACTACTTACTCTCATGCTGCTTTAACATCCACTCAACCACCACCACAACCTCTACTTTTTAGTTTCTCTTCACTAAATAACCTAAATACAGCCAACTCATCTCCAGCTCCTGCTCCTGCCCCTCAAATATCAGTGAGTCTCTCTCTCTCTCTCTCTCTCTCTCTCTCTCTCTCTCTCTCTCTCTCTCTCTCTCTGTATGTTTATTTCTTAATCATGTCTTTATACATATCTTAAGTTAATCTTGTGTTTTGTCATTAATTAGGCAGCTGATGTGTTGCAAGAGACGATAATCCAGAAAGTAGAAGGAGACGTGATTAATACAGTGGATAATGATGTTGTTGCCAATAGAACAGTGTTCATCAGCGGCAGCCAGCTTGATAAAGTAGAAGCAAGTTTGGGTAGAGCACGGTCTGCCATTAGAGAAGCTGCTAAAGTTAGGAATAAAACATCCACACATCAAGACCCTGATTATGTTCCTCGAGGCCCTATATATCATAACCCTAACGCCTTCCACAGGTACATTATATAGACAAAGTAAACTCAACTTGATTAATTAATGATTTAGATTTGCAGTCTACCTAACAACAAAATTAAGCGTCTAAATCAGAATTATTAACAAATATTTAGTTAATTAATTGTTGTTATACAATATAATAATTAAAAATAAAATAAAAGGAAAAGTTGGCAGGAGTTACCTAGAGATGGAGAAGGTGTTCAAGATCTATGTATACGAAGAAGGAGAGGTTCCAATATTTCACGAAGGGCCATGCAGGGGTATATATTCATCAGAAGGAAGGTTTATTCATGAGATGGAGAAGGGCAAATTTTATCGTACAAAAGACCCTCACAAGGCACTTGTTTATTTCCTTCCATTCAGTGTGGTTACTATGGTAGAGTATATCTATATGCCTGAAACCTTTGATCGAAGTGGCATGAAGCTTGCTGTGGTCGACTACATCAATCTCATTTCTCACAAACATCCGTTCTGGAACCGAAGCCACGGTGCCGATCATTTCATGTTGTCCTGTCATGATTGGGTACGTACATTATATGTTATCTTCTAATTACGTGTGCTAATTTTTTTTAAAAAAAAAGAAGCTATATGCACTTTAAATTGAATATTTTATAATCTTACCTTTACTCGTAAATACAATATATAGGTGGCTAAAAAAGCATTAAGAAAATCACTTGATTTTTCTTTTCAGTTACCAACTCCTTGCTTCGTAATAAAATTACCGTTTATTAGCTTCCAAATGCACACAAGGCCAATGTAGCACAATCTGGCCCTACTATCTTTTTCTCATTTTTTGTCTTTCTATATGTTTGTTTCAATTTGCATATGTATATGAAGGACCACTGCAATTCGTGGTTTAGAGATATATACGAAGCAAGGTATGTGATCTCCTTGCCTGAAGAAAACATGATTGGCAAAACCTTTGTTTCCAATACCTCAAAATTTGTGAATGGGTACAATTTTGAAGTTTGTAAAGCTCGACTGAATTTTGATTGGAGAAGATTTTTCTTGTCCTTCTATGCCTCTAACATGCTCTTGCAGCAACAATGTAAAGAGCGAAATTTCACCACATTCTTCAATTTTATTATTACCCTTTTACTCGTTGAAAAGCACAATAGTCTCCTAATGATGATTCATCAAGCGCACCCCACTAACTCAAAGACACTTTCTTTGCCTGAAGCAAGCGCTGGTGCTTACGAAGCCCAAACCATTAATATTAGTAGTGTGATTTATTTTCCTTTTCTGAGAATATTTCCTATTGCACATAGATTAGGTCCTTAGGATTTTATTTAGGGTTTCATTTTCCTTGCCCTACAAGGGAATGTATCACTATAAATATGTCTCCACAGGGATAAGAATACATAATGTAAAATTGACACACCCCGTTCCGAAGGAGGGCATGCTGGCCGTCACGTGAGAGTGACGTAACCATTTACACAGTTCGGAAGCTTTAAAGAATACAATTACTAAGATATAACACCTGAGGGTGAATCCTACTTTTGTGAATTCTGTCAGAACACCGATGGATTCCTCGTGGCCACCAAAGCTCTACTAACTTGAACCTGGAAGGGCGCAAAACAAAATTGAGTGGGTCAGCAAAACAAAGCTTTTCGAAAACCTTTCATTTAAAACATTTCTAACCCCTCGCCGTAAAACCTGTATACTTTCCCAGAAATTTATTATAAAAACATAAATATATAAATCATCAAAACTCAGCTCACCATCTATCAACATAACATTTCAGAAAGAATATGCCATACATGCAATTGATGAGATATTTGAATTGATAATTGATGCATATATATGTGAATTGACGTTGTGGACGCACATGTGAGTTTTTACATTATTCATACGATTTATTGATGTGAATTGTGTTGAGAGCTCATAACATGCACCCATGGTGTTAGTGCTTATATTATTCACCGCACCGCACGCTCACCTTGGATCCAAGTAGGTGCATGTCGTACAGACCATGAGAGGGTTTCGACATGCCAGTCGTACAGACCATTAGAGGGGTTTCAACTGGTAGGTGACCTTAGATTATGTGCACAGATGATTGATGAGAGAAGCACTAGAGCGTATTATTTCACCATCTTAGTCGTACAGACTACTATAGGTAGTTCCGACTTATGTGCAGTGTAGTGCCGTACAAGTCACAGTTGGTGACTCCGGCAGGGCCGTACAAGTCACAGTTGGTGACTTCGGCTGGATGGGATATTGAGCTATAGAATCAGCCGTACAGGACCACTGTAGGGTCTCCGGTTGATTTATTATTTCACCTAATTTATATCGATGCATTCATATCTCACGGTTTTGTTTCTGGGAACTCACGAGCAACTTCCCAGTAGGTCACCCAAAGGGACAATATCATGCTACGGTGGTGGAGCGGGCCCGGGAAGTGGTCCGCCCCGGGCCGGGATGTGACAAAAATTCCCTCACAGAGAGAAGAATACATAACATAAAATTCCTTATAAGTTCTATCTCCATAATTTAACAATAAGAGGGTCAGTAAATTGGGTAATGATTAATCAGTACCCAAGTATTGTACCCTCCAAAAATGACACCAAGTTGAAATAAATACAAAAATGACCCATTCTTATTCAGTAGATACTTAATCGATATTTAATAAATTTTGTTGATATGACATCAATATTTGGTATTCATACTTCAATAACGTTGTTAAGATGTCGTTGATATTTGGTTGATATATTGTCTTCCACATTGTTTAAGTCACTCCTTCAAGTCAATTTTGTAGTTGTTACAACTTTTGCCATTTTTGTAAGAGCTCATTCTAATGGTGTCATTACTGTGCATTTCCCAATTTTTTTTAATTTCAATAATTTAAATTATGTTATTGTCATTCCAAATATCTCATTATACATTTTAAGCTTCTGTATTTAGAAAAATGCAATTGTGAGAAGTGCAAAAATGAGATTGTTGAAATACCAAAAATAGCACCCTTAGATTTTTGTTTTTTTTTTCTTCTAAGTTTGATTTTTGTTTATTAAATTAAAGAGAATCGAACTCTAAACTTATTCTAATCCTAGCTCATTACCTAACTCAGTCTCATGCTGACTTATTTCGACTTATTTCGTTTTTTTCCTTCTACTTTTCTTATTGCTAAGCGACTGTATGAGTGTATTAGTTGGTCGATAATATAACCGAGTCCTTGTTCATTTTACAGGGACCATATACGACATCCTTCGTCCCTGATTTATTCCACAACTCCATTAGAATTCTATGCAATGCGAACACTACAGAAGGATTTAATCCGTCGAAAGATGCGTCACTTCCAGAGATTAATCTGAAAACATCGGAAATGTCGGGAATCGGCGGCCAGCCTCCATCGAAGCGATCCACACTAGCTTTCTTTGCAGGGGGTCTACACGGCCACATCAGGTACCTTCTCCTAAACGAATGGAAGGGCAAAGACCAAGACGTGTTAGTTTACGACAAACTTCCTCAGGGAGTGTCGTACGAGAACATGCTCAAGAGCAGCAAGTTTTGCTTATGCCCTAGCGGGTACGAAGTGGCAAGTCCAAGAGTGGTGGAAGCAATTTATGCACAGTGTGTGCCGGTGTTGATTTCAGATGGCTACGTTCCTCCATTCAGCGATGTTTTGAACTGGAACTCGTTTTCTGTACAAGTTCCGGTCAAGAATATATCCGACATCAAGACCATATTGACAGCCATATCGAGCAGGGAGTACCTCCGGATGCAGAGGAAGGTGAAACAAGTGCAACGACATTTTTTGGTGAATGGACCCCCGAAGAGATACGATGTTTTCCACATGATTGTTCACTCCATCTGGCTCAGACGCTTAAACATTCGCATTCAAGATGTATTCACCTAATTGAGCTCATCTATTTAGCTAATAAAAAGAAATCCTTCAACATGTTTTCCAGTGGTTGTTGCGGCGTATCATCCTATTGTCTTACGAGGACCGATGCGTATGTACGTCTAACAAAATAAGTTCGACGCAGGCAGTTGCGGGCACATAAGCTGCTAATAAATGTTGAGATATAACATATATAGATATATGTATATTCATAAGACAAACCTGAGGTCATAAGATAAGATCACATATGAAAACATGAGATCAAACATGGCAGCTATGTTCTCCAGCTTTCCACAACACTACCAGATCAGAAACCATCGCCATATCAACTACCAATATATAAAGAAAAAAACTTGAGAAAATAAAAACCTGGTCATACACGAGAGGCCCCTCGAGTAAAACAGTCATTCGCTGAAATCCATGCTTCCACTGCGAGAGCTACTGGCATTACGACTATGTAATGAGAGACCCCTCACATGGCCAGCCAAACCAGAACCATCGGTCTTGGTTCCCTGGAAGTATTTTTCCCTCTCAATGTGTTTTGCAGGTGGGGGTGGAAGATGCCCATTTGCAGGTGGAAGATGCCCATTTGATTCATGCAATGGCTCTAACGAAAGTGGTCGTATAAGTGGACGGTTCAGCCGTTCTGCTGGCTGGGTTGATCCAAGCAAGCCCAAGTGGGGGCGCTCGGCTGATTGCTCTTCATCCTCAGGCCTTACACAAGCTTTTCCTTTCCGTAGCCTGTAAAGTTTTTCAGTAAAAGACAACTGATTTCAGATCACCAAATCATACATGTTTGTAGACATCCCCATACCGAAGTTGTACGATATTTTTTCAAACCATAGTTTGCAGTGATCATAAAGATTAAAAATGTTCATACAAGGAAAACCTTAGGCCCATGTAGTTGAACATACCTTCGGACAAGCTGCTCAGCCTCCTCTTCCTCCTCAGCCTCCTCTTGGTTAAGATGGTTAACAGTTGGTATAGGCTTACAAGAAAGTAGGAATTCATGTCTTGCAAGAACCTTCTGGAGCTGCTCATTTAACTCAATAGCCCGAGAAACGGCCTTCTCATCCCTAGGAAAATTAAAGACAAGGTTCAGTTGGAGCTACAAGTACTACAGGTTATACATGCAGGCATGTTTGTTTTAAAGAATGGGCAGCATCTGTACATATACTTGTCCCCTAAACCAAACTATCATATTTTGAAGGACTAACTACGGATCCCATCAGAGCCATACAAATATTTAAGACCACATTCGAATATCCCATCCTTCAAAGTTGAAAACAAAACAATTCAGAAAGTGTTCTCAATCCCACAGTTTTTCCAGTCTTGCAATATCAACTATATCACCATAGAAAATAGGAAGTTCTTCCCTTGGAGCTAAAACCAAAATGTCAATGAGCATAATTAGTACAACAGTTTAACAATGTCCAAGGCTCTTGAGCCATCTAGGTTTTATATATCTGCACCTGAATGTGCAACTATGGATTTCAACAAGAAATTTATGTAGTCCAATTACTATCACCTAATTGGAAAAACTTCATTCGCCTTTACATATTTCTTCAGCTTGAGATTAAACATCAAAACACCACCCCAAGCAGGCGAAACTTCTCATGACATTTAAAAAGTAATGCTATCCCTGTATCCTTAAACAAAATCTAACTACATATTGCTAACGAGGTAACTGAAGCAACTCAGTATCTGGGGGAACAAACTCACCCCGTCTAGAGTTAAACTTATCATGTACCTAATGAGATTTAATTACCATATCAACAAAATTTAGTATGAGTACAGTGCTATGCAACCAATAAAAAAGGAAAATTGTTATACTTTACAGAATAATAGAAGCCTTACCGAGAAGTCATCACAAGATGCATAATTTTTTGCTTTTGGAAAGAACATTGTTCCACAAGATCAAGTGTGAATTCATCCTTTGCCCCCTAGAGAAACATATATCTAAGAGTCAACATTACAGAAGATAATTTAAACATTAAAGGGCACCTTTAAACATCAACTTGTCAACCAACCAGACATGCAATGTAATTATGTCATAATCATCATTTGATTCATTTTAATACAAGGGACATGCCCCTGGGAGTAACCCCATGTCCAACGTGAAAGATGAGGACACAATGCAACGGAAAAATGACTAAATGTGGCTTAAAAAAAACCAGGTTATGGCAAAGATGAATCCAGACATCCCAATTGGATGGCTTCTTTTGCACAATGAGTTTTCATGAATGAATTCCCTTTGAGAGTTATGAGGTGACATCTGTTTTACATTTTCCTAAGAAAATCAATATATTTTGTTGTATGAATGTAAGCAAGGCCCCTGCAAGAAACAGTAAATAGTCTTGCAAAGTTCTCCTACCTTGTTATCTCATGGACATCTGGATTTTTTTTTTTAGTTTCATCTTTTACTATTCTGTTTGTATTTCTAAAGACTTCGCCATAACATCAGAAAAGAACGTGATGATCATGATGCCACCATTTAATATAGCAGAACAGCTAGTACATTAGTTTATATAGCTATCGCATACTACAGAATGCGTACAACTGCGTTCATGTGACAAACCGTGGTTGGTCAAGATTGACTCAAACAATGACTGCATAGAGAATATCTGGGTAAGTGATAGTCATGTAAATTAGCTCCATTATGAGCCTCTATTCATGTCAGAATTATCAACTGCGCCACCAAACTCGGACATTAATTTCTGATTAGTCTCCATATGTCTGACCACAAGTTTCCAGCCAAGATAGCACGCATTAAAATGTCAAGAACAGACTTCCTCTGAGACAAATAATACCTTACATTAATCTTTAAACTTCAAGTCTTCAACCTAGAAACAACAAAGCTAACTTAATTCTACAGTACGAAAATTTGACCCAAAGTCAAGGACTAGACTTGAATGCCCCAACTCTCACTCCCAGTGATAACAGTGTCATCGACACAGACAATCAAAATTGCAATGTCATGATCTGTCTCTCTCTATTTAAAGAATGTTGAATGCTCAGTCCCGCTTCTAAACTTGTCATGAGTAACCATTATTGTTCTCAACCGGTCAAACCATGCTGAAGGGGATTGTTTGTAGGGGTGGGCTACCTTGTTAACAAATCAGCTAAACCGAACAACACAACCCGGGTTGGTTTTCTTCTGTTCTCTCTTAATTTTCACACTAGGGTCACAATCCAAACCAACCGGCTCCATTTAATGATAACTGGTCACTCTGAGGACCCGTAATAACCAAACAAACAATGATTCAACTACCTGATAATACTTATTAAGTCGTACCATTTCCTTTTAACCCTAATAGGCTATAACGTATCCACTTTGTTCTGGTCACTTATCCCTCTCATCAACTTTCACATCTTCCCTCTTTCACCTACTTTGTAAGTACCTCCCAACGCCAATACTCTTTTAGCTGTATAGCCTCCTTCATTTTAAAGGTTTAGTAAGTCGACTAACCCAAGGCTTATTACTTTCTGCATATAATGCATGCCTGTTGTTTGCATGTAAACATAAAATGTCATGTACTGTTGTTTTCTCACAGTGGTTTTAGTAATCTACATCTTTCTTCTGAACTATAGATATCCATACGCATGCCTAGTAGGCACACTGTAAAAGTACGAGGACTCTAATTGGACTGAACCATCAAAGTACAGAACCAAGGAATAAGTATAATAATCCTTGAAAAAAGGGACAGATTTTTGTAAGAGACGGAAAAGGAATAGGCAATGCAGCTTACGTTGTCCATCCACATTAGAAATTAACAAGAAAGAGTTCCACACTCAAGCAGTAAATTAATTCCATTAGACAACTTTTGGCATGCACAAGGCTCCTGTTCATTTCCATATGTGAGGTTGGGGTTGAAATTCACTTTTAAGCTAAACATCAGTTATGATAAGATAACCACCTCCTGACACAAACTTCCCATCATCAAGCACTAACTTGACTCTTCAAGTATTTATACATGTCATCTTTTCCAAGTCAATCATAAAGAAGAAACAAACCAGCTAAGTGATCAAAAATTTAAACCATTGTAAACTGGACAATAACTACTTAAAAGGCAAGGAAAGATATGAACATGCAACGGCTTTTGTGTCATATGGCAATGAAAGCCGCTGTGCAAGTGTGCAACTCATCTTTTCCAGAATTTAAAAAGCAAACGGTAGTCCACAATCATACCTCAGGATGCTGACTATCAACAGCATCAAGAACTTCCTTCAAAACATCTAATGCATTACTAGCCTTCTGAATAATACTGCATAAAATAAGTACAGAAAAATCAAAACACGTGCTATCAAACTACACACACTAAGGAAAAAAAAACCCAGCTAACATGCTTAACCCCTCATTCACAAAATTTATCGTGCCATCGGTACAAATAAATTCAGAAGAAACAAAAATGGATACACAGGGAACAACTCGCTGTAAGGATTTTAGAATTTTTGAGTAAAGGAATACATTCTCATTTGCATTACGATAGGAAAAACATGAAGGCCTAACTATTAATCACAAGAAAATATACAGGCCTACTAAATAGGTCAACAATGAATGGCTTCACATGAGAGCACCAACATTCGTAATTTGCATCGGTTAATTTAGTCACCAGATTGGAAAAACAAATTTATGTACATTAGTTTTAATAACAAGAGATGGATAACCAAGAATGACAGACTATAGTAATGGTGGTTTTTTCTAAACTGTTGACTAGTGCAGTAAAAACCATTTGAATGCCCAAGTATATTCAAAATAAATGTGGACGGTACCTAGATTCAGGAACAATATGTGGCTCTGCTTGAGGAGCAACCCTTTCATGTATAGATGATGCTAATTCACCATTAGGTGAACTTTTCTTAGCTGATTGTGGCGTTGGGCAATTCGTAGTGACCTGATGAGGCCTTTGATGGAACTCTAGTCCAGCACTCTGAAAATATTTAATTCAGAAATTTAAGACACAAGATATAGTCATTTCCTAAATATCTTTTACCAATAAACCACACCGTACTAAAAAACTGCAAAATATGTTCTTCAGAAGTTGACCAAGAAGCAGATGTTTCAATTATATGAAAGATTACAACCATGACGCCTACCAATACACTAATCTAGTTTCAGAACAATTTTCACCCTAAAGGAGGCCAAAATTGACATTTTTGTATCATGTGCAGCATGCCTCACAACTTGTAATTTTGAAAATTATTGACACTTCAGTGTGTGTGGTTGCGTATTTAGCTAACAATTTAAAAGACAGCATTCATATTTGAACCCAAAATGGACCCTCGGGTGAGCTATCCCCAGTCCCCGGAGATCTTTCTAGTATATGATCATTATATAAGCAAAAGAGCTTGATTTCTATATGTTATTCGGACATCGGCATGTGCTTGGTGCAATGAAAACAGATTTGAATGTATAAGGGCTCAATCGTACGTTAAAATTACACTCAAAATTGGACTTTTCATGAGGAAGAAAATCTTCTGCAAACTGATGATTGCATTCAAACTTAGAAAAAGTATTATTAGTTGTCAACTGGAAACTTTATGTCAACATCATATCACCACTAGTTTACCACCTCAAAAGCCCATTACTCCACACCATTTCCCCCAGAAACATCCAACTTATTCATCTGAATCATTCCATCAACACTTACTTTCTTAAAATGCCCTAATTGCCACACACAAAATTGGTCTTTTCAATAACAAGATTACTTACAATTATATGGCATAACTTTGATTTCTACCCATAATAAAATGACAAAATCTTAAAATATTTGAAACTAATACATCCAAACGCTTGTATTACAATTTACAATTGATTGTGAAGAACAAATAACAAAGAGCTCTATTATCTATAGACCTCGAAGTTCACATGACATACTTGGTAAAATCTAATCTATTTTCCAGCTACAACATGCCAAGAATCTAAACCAACCTACATGTGGAACAATTCTAATTTGGTTTGTTCTCATATTCATAAAATGAGGGTCTGAGTATGTATATTACTTGTTTGTACCTACCACCAAGTCATAATAAGCAGTATAATACTGTGGGAACTTCCCAGAAGCACCACCAAGGGATGTCTGTGTGGCATCTAGAAGTAGAAAGATGCGCTCTCGCACTGGCAAGTCTGACTGCAACCACATAAAAATGCGAACTGGATAAATTAATTATGAAATCAGCCAATTGTTAGCTACAGAGTAAATGAGAACAATTTTACACCTTTTTCTTGACTATCTTTACTAGAATAGGAAGAAGCCCAACATCGACCACCTGTTTATGAATATGTTCTCCTATGTTGTTCATCAACATCTCCAGCAACTACAAAATAAAAGGATAAATGGATGATATTACATCTAACTACATAACAGTAGAACAATATAAGTATAAAAATTTTTTTTAAAAAAACTCAGGTTTGAATGTCCCTTGATGTGCACGATTCAAGGAAGAAGAGAAGGGTAGGAAGGTACAAGAAAAACAACCAACATGATGGCTAACATAAACCAAATATCATCACAAAATCAGGCAATTACTCACCATAACCGCATAAAGTTGAGAATTTGCATGTTTACTCCCCAGTCGTTTTTTTATTGCTTTAATGACATCTCTAGCTTGCCTGCGCCAACCCAAAATTCATTAGTACTTAAAAGTAATTTCAGCTCAAATTTCAATTTCCAAGCTGTTAGGTGTAGGTAATGAGAAAGCAACTTATTAAACTTGTATGTGGCTAGAAAGGGATCGTCTGAGAAGAACTTTCCAGATACAATACTCAAATCAACATATAATACATATTAGTTGATTCAGAACTTCCAACTCAAGGTCATAGGTTTCTTCGACAAAGTCGATAGTCCCAATCCAACGATGAAACCTAGATACAAATGTGTACAGTTCTTAAGGGATTAGCTACAAATGCTTATGAAAAAAAATTCAATCCTTTTTTGTCAAACTTAAATATCCTAAGGTCCCAATAACAGTGATGAAACCTAGACAAACAAATTATGTGCAATCCAGTTTACTAGTGCAACCATCAACATCATATTAAACATGTCGCCCATAAAGTATGGATAGGTAAAAAGGCATTAAGCTGTTTCACATTATACTGAACCAGAAATACCTTCTAATACATTGTCCCCCTTCCCAAGAAAATTAAAGGTTGTAATTAATGAACTCCGAAAAATCTTCAGACTACAAATCAAAATAACAAGCACACATGCATTCATAATGTGTTACCCTATCTTCTTCTGAGAGAGAGAGAGAGAGAGAGAGAGAGGGAGGGAGAGAGAGAGAGTGTGAGTATGAGAGAGAGAGAGATTTGGAAGCTTTTAGAAATTATACCTATGATCATGCGCAACTAATTCACATATTTGAATATTCTTCATCCAGTCCATTTCAGCCAGTTTTTCGCTTGTAGCAGAATTGACAAGCTCAGCAGCCATCTTTTGCTTAGTTCTGGACTTTAAAAAGTGAATAGAAAGTAAGAATATGAACTAAAGATAAATTCAATCATTGAGGTATAAGTTCAAGGAAAAAGTGCCTATGCATCCTATGTTGTTCCTACTTGCACGCCTCTTGTGATTTCATAAAGTGTCTATTTGTCATATATCATTGATAAACATGGACACAACTATCCTCCCATAATATTCACCCCCCAACCAAATCCATCTAATGTCAGAGGACGAGATGCCCCTAGAAACCCAAACTAAGTTCCATGATTCAGAAAGACAGTAAATTTTGTTACAATAAGAGATCCTCTGAAACAAAAGCCGCCAAATTTGCAAAAGAACAAAAAAACAAAAAATAAAAACAAAACAAAAAAACAAATTTAGTGCTTCCCGAAACAATGAAGAAGCCGAATTTCATAAGAATGCCAAAGATCGGAACTTTATCCCACAAAGGCTCTAACCACTATCCCCCAAAACAGTCAAACATAACCAAAGAACAGCCACCAGACCCTAAGAAAGTAACTTCAAACTCTAAATTACTGCATTTCGGTCACAGAAAAAATCATAAGTAGTCGATCCTACAGCCATTCAATTGACTATTACTCCAACCTACCTAGTAGAAGAATTTTCTTCAATACTACGACCCATTCATATACACATAAATTTTTATATACTGAATAAGAAATAAAAAAGTAAATAAAGTATCAAAAAGAATTAACCTGAGACGGAGAATTGGAATGTCAGCAGCAGCAACTTGAAAACTGATGGCCCTTCATATGCTAATGCCACTCTACTCTGCAAGCAACCATTTTTCACATATTTTTCTTAAGAACAATAATAAAACAATTAAATTCAATAAATATAATTGAAGAAAACGAGGGGGGGGGAAAGGAAAACCCTTGGATTTCACTCCCGAGACGAAAGAAGAAGAAAAAAGGACGATATATACATATATATAGATGTATGTATGTATATATTACCAGTAAAGAAACAGGGAGAGGAAGAGGAAGAAGAAGGAGATGAGCTGGTAAATCCTCAAGAGCCTAAGCATTTCTCCATGTACCCAAAACCCACACAGATCAAATCGAAGAGAGTTTACAGTGATTTGGTAGTAGAGCATATATAGTATGATTGATTCCCGTTATTAACAACAAATTATGTATTTAATAATATTACAAAGCTTACTTAAATAAGTTTAATTTAAATAAATAAATAAAAGGTGATAGAAAATGTAAAAAGAAAGTAGGAAAAGTTTGGATAGCCAGAGGGGCTTGATGTGGGATGACGAATCTTGTCCGGTCTTTCCTTCTTACTTTACTTGCTAAGCTTAAAAATATAGAAATTATAAATGATTGATACAATATAATATATGGAGTTGTCTATGTATTGGCACCGCCAGGGCCCCCATCGGGCTCCATATTTCCTCGAAAATGTAAAAACTTGGGTTTGGGTTTTCTCACAACCAGAAGAAAATTATTTTTAGCAGAGTTTGGGCGACAGACTTCTTGATAAGTTTTCGTGTTGCATTTTTCTCTATGTTTTTTCGTTATTTTTTTGTTTATTTTTAGCGGTTTATTTATTTTCTTGTTTCGGCGGTTCTTGTAGGGGGGAAGGCCATAAGGTTCGTGGAGTATGCCCCACCCCCCCCCCCAAGCAATGGTTGTATACAATTACAAGGCATAATGTGATCGTACCAACTCACATGCACACTATTAACTTAAGCAGTTTAGATGAGAGTAATATTATGATAGGTGACCTCTTGAGAGTCTTCGTGTTGCATCCCCTTTATTTTTTTTACTTTTCTTAATTTGTTGCCTATTTTTAGCGGCTCATTTGTTGAGTGCTATTAAGCCCACTCCAGTGTCTTATTTCCACACCCACGATTAATTGATACTCGTATTGACAAATTTATCATAGTATAAAATGACCTTTAAAGACATGAAGACTAACCAATCATGTCTTGCCACATAATTATTAGTTATATTGATTCTTTTTATACTGATATTAAAAAAAAAACCTAAAATATCATAAATAAATAAAAAGAAAAAAATATCATGAACCCCACAAGCTTTCCTGGAGAAGGAAGTTCAGAAATTAAACTTATTAGGAAGAAAGTGAATTCGGACTTGACAAAGAAAAGCCTCGAGACTCGCAATAAAGCGCATGTTGTGGAATGTGTGATCAAGTTTCACCAAAGAGTAGAGCAAGCTAGTCTTCAAGACTATTATAATGTTGAGATAGATGAAGAGAGAAGCTCATAGTCCATATTACATTAAGGAACTCATGGATCCGACACTCGTTGAACTCCGATCTTGTCCACTCTTTTCTTCTTACTTTACTTGCTAAGCTTAAAAAGATGGAAATGATAAATGATTGATAGAATATAATATGCGGAGTTGTCGAAGTGGGGGCACCGCCAGGGCCCGTCGAAAAAGTAAAAAACTTGGGTTTGGGTTTGGGTTTTCTCACAACTAGAAGAAAACTATTTTTAGCGGAGTTTGGGCGAGAGACTAGAATAGTGTCAGAATGGTTGACTTCTTGTTAATTTTTCGTGTTGCATTTTTCTTTATGTTCTGTCTTTATTTTTTTCCTTATTTTTAGCGGTTCATTTGTATCCTCATTTCAGCGGTTCTTGTAGGGAGGAAAGCCATAAGGTTCGTGGAGTATGTCCAAAGCAACGATTGTATACAATTACGAAAGATAAACTAATAAATGTAATTATACTAACTCACATGTACGTTATTAACTTAAGCAATTTTGAATGAAAGTGGTACTAGAATAAGTGGCCTCTTAGAGTCTTCGTGTTGCATCTCCTTTATTTTTTATTTTTTATTCTTCTTGATTTTTAGCCTATTTTTGGCGGCTCATTTGTTTTCTCGTTTCGAGGACTCGGGGGTCTTGGGATATGATGATGGCCGATTAATTTAATAATAATAATATCTAGCTGCTCTCGTAGGGAGGAAGGCCATAAAGTTCATGGACCATGGCCAAACCAAAGGTTTTAACAATTACTAGGTATGAATTGTCAAATGCGATCGTACTAACTCACATGCACTGGAATCGGATTTCAACAGAACTCCGAAATTAAACGAGATTGAGCGAGAGTAGTACTAGGATAAGGTGATCTCTTGGAAAGTCCTCATGTTGTATCCCCTCCATTATGGAGTTTGACAACGGATGATAAATGTACTAATAATATCTAACGGCTCTTGTCGGAATGCCCAATAAGGTCATACAAAACAATGATTATATACAATTACAAGTCATAAACTAACATATGCGATTAATGAAGGCACACTACTATACAAATTAACTGTTAAATCTTGTGCACATTTTCATTTATCTCAATGGATGAACGTAGCAAACTTGACATAATTACTTGATTTTAAGCTTTGGCCGTCTTTTAGCGGTGAATCCGAATTTGACACGCCCTCTTTTAGCCTTATTCGGCTGCATCTTGACTCGCCTGCGTCGAAACATTTGCCACCAATGCAACTTCTTCTTCTTCCTAATAATGCAACTTCTTCCTCCTCCTCCTCCTCCTCCTCCTACTCCTCCTCCCTTTGACAAGTAGTTATTGGATTTCTTCGAATGCCTTATGTGCCTCAACAGCCCTTCCAACAGCGCATGAAAATGCCCAACCTCCCCCTGCTTATTATGCAACATGTTTTTCACTTTCACCAATGATTTTTTGCTCCCTCTGCTTTCTCGGGTGCCATGCGGGTTTTTGTGGCTGTCAAACATCTTCCTCCGTAGGTGTTTCCATCCAGTATGGCAGCGATCATCATCACTATTACCATTTCTGTCATAGTGGTGATGGTGATGGTGATGGTGGTGAAATATGAGTCCCAACCTGTTCTTGAGCCTCCTAAACCGTCCAACTGACTTGTCCGGATATCTTTTACGGCTATAGAGATCATCATCCTCCTCCTCCCCCTCCATAGATGAGCTACAGCTACTATTCCGTGAACTACTACTAGCACTAACTTCTGCCGCCGTATTTATCGACCTTGTTGAGGAAGAGAGATCACTTCTCATTCTCATATGAATATCACGAGTACGTCTCCTAGATAGGCCTCGACTCCAGGAATCCTCCCTTGAGTATTCATTACTACCAGCGCTGCTTTCAGCTTCAGAATTTGTCTCACTTATCCACGTCGACCATGTTTCGGAATCAGTACAACCTGAGCTAGTCTCCTCCTCCATATCCAATACTTGCTTTCGTGGCATTCTCTTCGTCTGTTGGCCTGCATAAGACATTTTGTGTGTCCCACTAGGCTTGTGTTCATCTAACAAAACTGGCTTCACGGTCATTGTATGATGTCTCTGGTTTGTCACTAAACTAATTCTCCGAGTTTGACTCATCAACTTCTTACAACTAGGTCCATGTCCAACTGAAGAAGCTATGGACTCAGGTGGCACGAACCGATTAGATCTTGCAGCCCCTATTTTTCTAGTAGTTGCATTTTGGACTGGAGTGGTTTTCCATGTTTGATCAGGTGTCTTAACGTGCATAGGAGCCTGATTTGGCGTAGGAACACTTAGACCATTAACATAACCTGCCATCTTCTCATTCCGACTCACTGGTTGACTCGGAGGGAACCTCAGCGATCCAAGTCTCTCCATCAGGCCCTTGGAGGAACCATGTTCCCTAGAAGTAGAAGCAAACTTCCCAGTCGGATTTTGAGACAGTAGTTGACTCGCCTGACGAGTTAGCAACTGAGTTCCACCCAACAAAGGAAAAGACTTGTCCATACCACTCAACTCTCTTCTAGTAATAGTAGTACTAATAGTAGGAGGAGGAGTTACCCGTTCTTCTATCTGCGCTGTAGGAGTAGGAGTACAAGGACTAAATGAAATGTCGCGCTTGAAAGAACCATGTTCATTAGCATCGTTGTTGAAGGAATTCGCCATTCCAAAAGAACTCAACTGCACAGCCAAAATGCGCGACTCAATTTGTTTGATTGCATTTGCAACTACTTTAGAGTAATCACTACCCTCATCTGACTTTTCCTCGCTCTGGCCAATCGGGTACAAACCGACTTCTTGCTTGCTATCCATTCTTGTTGGAGATATTGGGGAACAAGCACCAGAAACAATGCTTGGATTTCCAAGAGTTTCACTGATGTCATTCCCTCTCACTGTGGACTTTGTATTAGATTCTTGTAATCTTTTAGCATGCTCATCGAGAACATTGAGATGACTATGCCAATCATGTTGCTTATCTTGACTAACACTGTTTTCGTCAGGTACCTTGACTCTGTCATTGGAGAATTTTGTTTCCTTGGCTGAGTACTGTTTCTTCAGATTGTTTTCTAAACAGATTCGACACATTTTCTTTTTCTGTTCAGGCAGGTCCGATGAGATGCTTACTTTAGACTCCGCAATTTCTCTCTCAGGCTTCAGCTTCTTCAGTGACCCATCCTCCTCTGGAGCGAACATGTACTTTTTAGAATCCTTTCCATCATCATTCAAGACTCTGTTAGGAGAAGATTTCACTGTAACTGTTGGGGAAAGAGGAGAATTCTTCTTAGGCACAGCCTTGGGTTGCTCTGGTTGAGAGGGGCAAGGTTTGCTACTAACAGCTGCCTGAGTTGTTATCATCTGCAAAACCAAGACCGTTAGAAACAAAGTTAGAAATAAAAGTCACAGGATGAATTAATTATACCGTACAAATCCTATGTCGTAGAAAATTATAAATTCACAAGAGAGAAGCAGGTTAAGAAAATCACAAAGCAGAGCTAATACTGCAGAAGTGCACCGATGCAACAAAAGTACCTTCAAATGAGTATTGAAAATCTTTTCAGCCGCATTATCTAGAAGATCTTTTAACAATTGTCGCGCTCTCGTGTCCAAAGCTTTTTCCACCTTCACGAAGATAATATCAGGAACCAACAGAACATAGAAAGTAATGTTATAAACCAAAAGAGCATAGAGTGCTAACTTACATTGTTTGAATTTACATGTTGCGGCCAGCCTTCGCCATTCTGGAGGAGTCCATATAACTGTCTCAATGCATAGAGATCAGACAAGAGTTCCACAGGATTCATGCTTTCTCACTGGAACCGAACCTGTAAGCATGCATTTCCAACAAAGATGAAGTTTACAAACCATGAATTGAGTTATAATAAAGGAAGGATGTTCAGATATCACTAACTAACATCAGTAGGTAATTGAATTTGATTTTGATCAAATGACATCAATGTTTACTTAGTACTTACAAGGAATAAGAGTTGTAATCGTTTAATTTTTTTAAGCTCCTGCGTTTACTAAAGTGTAGGTATGTGAAGCATTTCACTCCCTAACTTTTCCCCGTGTTTACTTACACATATGAATTCGGAAAACTATAGGTTTCCTTTTGGAATTCTTAATCAAATACCTCAAAATCAGGAATCATATCAGTTAGGGGTAGTTGATCTGATCCCATTCCCTTCCTTACTCCCTCTATTCCTAAGTTTTCCGATTCCTTCCTTTTTTTATTTTTGTTATCCGATTACTAATTACTAAATACCATTAAAAGAAAGAACTTGAGAAAAAAAAAAACATGAAATTGATTGATTATTCAACAAGTGGCAGTGTTAGTGTTGCATACTGACAAAAAATTTATCATCTACGAATGTTTAGGCGAGGGACTTCCAAATCTCGAGAAAGGAATGCCCAACATGATCACTTCAAAAGTTATGTAAGAGGGATTTGGAAATTACTACTCCAAAGTTCCAAATCTATGTTGAATTGGAGTAGTCATTTTCAATTCTCTCTTGCATAACTTTGCAATGATCATGTAGACTGTAGTGCATTTCTAATCACTGCTATCTAACATTTTTATGGTCCATAAGTTGGTCTTAATACCAACCAAACAAATTGCAAATGATTCCTTTCAAGTAGTCATTTGCAAATTTTTAATCCAATCTTTGAATCTAGAAAATAGGAATCCCGGGAAATTAGGGTTATTCTCAACCATAATTTACCAATTTTCAGCAAAAACTGGATTTTCTCAATTGCCATAAACTCAGTATCAGTCGAGTTAAAATCACATTCTAATAATCACGTTTTCACTAAACAAATTGTGAATATGTGATGATGATGATGATGATGATGATGATGATGATAATAATAATAATAATGAGAGAGAGAGAGAGAGAGAGAGAGAAATTGGAGTGGGGCTTGATATTGATCACAGAAATTCTAGAAATTGAACAGGCAACATCAGAAAAGCAAAATATATAAAATTCCAAATACCGAAAAATGCGAAAATGCAGTTAGAGAGAGAGAGAGAGAGAGAGAGACCTGAATGTGGTTGTGGTTTGAGCCTAGTTTACGTGCACTGCTTGAGACTGGTTGAGGGGGGGGGGGAGGGGAGAGAGAGAGGGAGGGAAATTACGTTAAGGGTCCGATGACAGGGTAGTTGACGACTTGATGGAATAGGGAAAGGTTACAACCCATTTGCAAGCGAACTGGAGAAACAGGAGGGAAAACTGCCGCTTTTATTTTTTTAGACTTATTAATTGATTGCTCTCAAACTGTTATTTAGCCTTATTTTAGCAGGCCGTTTGTTTGCCTCACTAGATTTCATTAGACTATATTAGATTAAATTTGAAATGTTGATAAATTTTAGGATCTGGGTTCTCTGAAATAAGTGTGATGTGGGTTTTCTAAAATAAGTATGATTGTTTTTTTTTGTTTGTCGAAATATAAGTATGATTGTTAGCTGGGAAGTTTATGAGGTCAATTAGAAGTTTTCATAACTAAAATTGAAAATAAAAATATAGTCCTAGCTAGTCCAATACTACATCAAACGTTTCACAATTGTAGTACGGCTTAATCCATATCAAGCCAATTCAATTTAATGTCTGAAGCTAATACAGTCCGAGATAGTTTGATACAACAAATGCACTATAAAAGTGTTATTTTCGTCTCATTAAGTCTTAGTTCACCTCATATTTATCCATTTTGTCAAACAGACATTAAATTACAGAGTAGTATGAACATTTCATTTTGACACAACTTTTTGCCTTTAAGAGCAATTCCACCCCTAAAAACTTTGCGCCAGTACCTTGCGCATTTATCCGCTCAGTGAACAATGATAGACCCTAATAAACAGTAATAGGCTAAATGCATCTCCACCCCTAAAAATAAGCTGACACCCAGCTTATCTAATATTATATTATTTTATTCATATCAATTACTATTTTATACTTTAATTCATTTTTTCTTTTGTCTTCCTTTCTCTCGAAAGGTCTAGCATTTTTGTTTCCTTCCCACTGCTTCCATCCCTCTCCGATCCTTTTTCCCCTTATTTATCCGATCAACCGTCTCTCTCCTCTCTCTTCCCCCCCCTTTTCTCCATGTTTTCTTCTTCAAATAAGGAAGTGATTATGCACTGGTCTTTCTTCTTGTTCCTTGAATCAGAGAGAGCTATCTCTGCGCGGTCCCTGTGTGTAGCAACCGGAGTCCCAGGATTGGCGGGATGGAAATCGGGAAGAGGAAGGAGGGATTTGAGATGGGGCGTAGATGAAGAAGGCGTACGGGTGTATTAGATGGGGTTCCAGGGATCGAGAGGCGTCGGAGGCGCGACGGAGAGTGATGGAGGTGGAGATTGCGACGAGGGCGGTGCAGGTGGAGATTGCAGAAATAAAATTAAAAATGCCCACGACGTCACGCTGGTGTCAACATAGCGTCATACGGGCTAGCTCACGCCTCTGTTGATTTTGGGTTGGCCTGGAGACTAACTTAGGCTGGGTGCCGATCAAAATGCTGGGCTGGAGTGGTTTCACTGGGTGTCGGGTTGGTTTTTTGGCTGGGTGTTGGCCTTTCTCACCCCCGGTGGAACTACTCTAACCCAGTAAAACAATCTAATTTCCGTTTTTGACAACTCTAATTCAAACCCATGATTTTCTCCAAGTGTACGACGAATTGTCATTGTTGCCAAGAACATTAGTTATCAATAGAACTCAAGGATTGGATTCTCAAGCCTAAACTTCTTTCTCCTCTTTCACCGACCTTATAAGTTGTGTCCCCAACTTTTCTCGCCACAATTCACATGTGCCCTAGTAAATATGTGATGATTAACCAAATTTGTCATATAAGTGCCACGCGACCAATCAAGTGGCTTATCTTTGCTTGTGTAACAAATGAAGTGTCCATACTACCTTTTAATTTAATGTTTACTTGATAAAATGGATAAAAATAGAGTGTACTGAGAGCTAATGAGACGAAAATAAGACAAAACCAATTTAATAAGGTGAAATGAGACTAAATGACAGTTTTATGAGATAAATCAATTAATTATAAAATCTATATAACACGGGTACACTGGTCAATAAAATAAGAAAATATACACAAAAACTTACACATGTTTTTATTTCATTTGCATGTGATGTCAGAATGTTAGTGTACTCATGTCTTAAATCATGGGGTGTGCTATCCACACACCATTTTTTACTTCTTACACATCCCTTGTTAATTTATGTCCGTTGATCTTATTCAATTCATCCGATCTAACGGACGAAAACTAAAAAGGTGTGGGAGAAGTAAAAAAAGGTGTGTGGATATCACACTCCATAAATCATTATGATGAGAGAGGGGTCTAGTCGCGTTGGAGGACTTATATAACACGAGTGTACTCATACAGTGACATCGCGTACTAATAAAATAGAGACGTATGTAAGTGTTTATCTATGTGTACTTATTTCGTTGACGCAGAAGACGACATAGCGGCAGCTTGTGTGTTGGTGAATTCCAGGGATTAAGTGGCGCGACCTTACTAGTTGGGGAAGCAAGGGGGAAAGTGAGACGTTGCTGGAAAAGCAAGGGGATGAATTGTACACTAGACGGGGGGAGCGAGAGGTGGATCGGCGGGAATGAGGGTGACACGCCACCATTAAGCATTGCAAAGTCCAAGGAAGAAGAAAGAAAGAAAGAAGACAAACGCAGAGGTGTTGATGATGACTCGATGATGATAAACACATGTGTCCTTTTCCATGGACCTCAACCTGGAAGAAGAAAAACCTCTCTTCCAAATTAAGGTTAAAATTAAAAATAAATCAAATCAAAATTAAAAGACAAAAAGAAAGAAGCTTTGCCCCTGCTTCCTCCCCCTCCTCCTGAGTCCTGAGATCTGCAGCATCTGCAGGTTGGTTGTCTTCTACTTATTTACTGTCATTCGATTCATTTTTTTCAATTTATTTGTACTTGTAGAATACAATTTCTTTTGAATATATATATATATATTCCTTGCAAATTGTAATTGATAAGTGACTACAAATGGATTGGGTTTAGTTGGTAGTATATCTATTTCCAGTTTCTTGGGATATCCTTGGCCGTTGGGTGGGTGAAGGGTCAGGACTCATCAGCATCAGCAAGCAAGCTAAGCAAGTGTGTTCCATCCCAGTTGTATTGCCCTTTAAATTAAGGGGTACTTTGAATCTACATACAAATAGAGACAGAGTCCTATGTCTTTCTCTCTCTCTCTTTCTTTGTTTGGGTTGGTAACTTGGTAGTTGGTGCTGGAATACTGGTGGAGGTTAGTTAGATCAAAATTTGGACTGTATATTTTAAGTGAATTTTAAGCAATTCTGCTGACGATTGAACATTTGCTATACAGCAAGTTACTCAACTGGGTTCTGATTTAAATTATCGTATCTTTGTTTGAACCTTAAGTTTTAAGCACAACTGTGTATTTGGGGTCTCGAGTCAAGGTGGCCTGTTGCTTTCTAATGGTGCCTAACATTATCATGAAACTTTGATGATAATGTAGGCCAAGGCTCTGACCGAGATGCTGTGGCGTTGCTGATATTCCAGATGGACAGGCGGAGTCGGCTATGGCAAAGGAAGTCATCAGACAAGAGTCCCGGCGACACTGAGAGTTCGGGATCCATATCTTCTCACTCTGAAAGGTTTTCTGATGATCAGGTTGATGGCATTTACATGAATTGTTCTCGTACAATTCAGTTTGCATTTGAAGTTTGATTAATAATTGGATTGTCGAGTTGCATGAATGTTGCAGATGTGAATGTTTCTGCTTAACATGTTGTTACTTAATCTTAATCATTTGTTTCTTTCGATTGCACAAAACCATTTTTTTCATCTCTCTCTCTCTCTCTCTCTCTCACTCACTCTCTCTCTCTAAAATGGTGAAAAAGCAAGAGAATTCATTGTCAACAAGTTAAAAGCTTTCCTTGTTGTTGAGTTCCACTTGAATCTGTTTAAGTGATGTTATTGATCAAACTTAAATGTTTCTTACTTTGATGTCAAAGGCAAATCCAACTCATGGCATTCTATCGCCAGAAGTCGCTTCTAAAGCTCCACCCGATGATCGACAAGTTAATGGGAGTGTTGAGGCTTTGACGGAGAAATTATCCGCTGCTCTTCTTAACTGTAGTGCCAAAGATGATTTGGTAAAGCAGCATGCTAAAGTTGCAGAAGAAGCTGTCTCAGGTTTTAACTTTTCTGCTTTCCATTTGCTCCCACTATATTTTACTGCAGTTCGAAATCTAGGCTACTTTCTTTAATCTTGTTGTGCATAATGTGTATTCTTTACTCTGAAAAAAGAAACTCTAAGGATGTGAATCTCAAAATTAATAACCGAAATTAGAGAAAACATGTAAACGATATAAATAGAAAGCTAAAGTGTTTCTCAACTGCATTTTCTTCCTATTTCTCAACTGCATTTTCTTCCTATTTTAAGGCACATTTTATTATGAATGGTATTTAATGACTATATATCCGCATTTGTTTGCATACTTATGCAATCTGCCATTACTTGATTTTGCTGAAACAGTTTTCTTTTTCCAAGAACAAGAATTTCATGAAAGTCATATTCTTAATGTTTCTTCAAGTATTTCTACAATGGATGTCGTAGATACTTTTACATTATATTGCTTATCCCTATTTTAAAAAGGGTCTCATTAGTTGTTCCTCTATTCCATTATAATGGTAGGCTGGGAGAAGGCTGAAAATGAAGCGGTTCGTTTAAGACAGCAACTTGAGGCTGCAAATAAGAAAAAATCAGCTCTTGAAGACCGAGTTGGTCATCTCGATGGAGCACTGAAAGAATGCGTGAGGCAGCTTCGACAGGCACGAGAAGAGCAAGACAAGAATACCAATGATGCTGTTGCCAAAAGAACTCGTGAGTGGGAAAGTTCAAAGTCCATGCTTGAGAGTCAGATTGTTGAGCTCGAAGCACAACTTCAAACTGCTAAATCGGGAGCTGCTGCCTCAACTGATTTTGATTTGCTTTCAAAGCTTGATGCTACTGAAAAAGAGAACTCTGATCTTCAACTTAAGCTTCTTTCTCGAGTGAAGGAGCTAGAAGTCAGGACTATTGAGAGAGATTTGAGCACCCAAGCTGCTGAAACAGCCAGCAAGCAATATTTAGAGAGCATAAAAAAAGTGGCTAAGCTTGAAGCTGAGTGCCGTAAGCTAAAAGTCTTGACTCGCAAAGCATTACCTGCTAATGATCACAAATCCTTTTCTGCATCCTCAGTTTGCGCAGAGTCTTTTACAGATAGCCAGTCAGATAGTTGGGAGAGGATAGTGGCAATTGATCTGGATACACACAAAGTGAGTGGCTTGGAGCATGATCCAAGCCAGTCAGATTCACGGGCTCCTGCTCAAATAACAGAACCTGGCCAGTTTAAGAACAAGAAGAGGTTTGGAAAATATGTCCCTTCAGTAGAAATCAATCTCATGGATGATTTTCTTGAAATGGAAAGGCTTGCCGCAACTCCAGATACAGAAAATGACAACTGTTGTCAACCTAGCTTTAGGGAAAACCCTTTAAAAACTGAACTTGAAACCATGATACAAAGGACTCTGGAACTTGAGGGGAAGTTAGAGAAGATGGCAGCAGAAAAAGTGGAACTCGAGATGACTCTGACTGAGTGTCAAAAGCAGCTTGAGACATCACAGAGTCAACTTATGGAGGCTGATACGAAGTTGGAAGACCTTAAAAGACAGTTGGCTCATGCAAATGACTCGATGTATGATGCACAGGAAGAAGTAAAGTCCTATCAAACAATGAGAGAAGTTGCAGAGTCACAACTAAGAGCTGTTCAAAAGGACTACAATTCCTTGCTTTTAAAGGCTAGTTCACTGGAAGAAGAGGTTTCTAAGGAGCGAGATTTATCAGCTGAAAATGTGGCCAAATGCCAGAAACTGGAGACTGAGCTATTAAGTATGAAACGTGAAGCTGAGCTCCAGCGTGAGGATGAGCTCCAACGATTGCGCAGTACTAATGGTGAATTGAAGATAAAGCAGGTTGGTTTTCTTGAACACACTAAACCCAATTTTCAAATTATAGTAAATGAAACTATGCATGTTGGAATAGAAGGAAAAGTGAGGAGAATATATATGTAGTGGAAATGAGAATGGTAGATGGATGGTAGGATTGAGTAGAAAAGAGAGCTAAACATTATGGACTCATTGGGAAACAATATATGGTGTAGGTATAGTTTAAGAATAAAATTAGGCTTAGGTGGTATGCGATCTAATCAAAGTAAGAATAATAAAAGAGATTAGAGATTATCTTTCAGATATGTTGGTTTTTGATGTTGTATTCTTGTTTGTGGCAGGAGAAAGAGCTAGCATTGGCTGCGAACAAATACGCAGAGTGCCAGAAAACAATTGCATCTCTTGGCCAACAGTTGAAGTCACTTGCAACACTGGAGGACTTCCTGGTGGACTCTGAAAGGCCATCGGAGCTTATCGGCGCGGGGATACAGTGTGGAACAACATGATTTACACCCAAATCTGAGGCTAGTATAAATTTTGAAAACAGCAGATGATTAGCCAAATCCTTCAAATATTGGTGGGTTTAATGAATTTGGTGAGCTTTTTGCTAGATTTTGAAGGCAGCAAACGAGAATTGTAATAGAAAGAATTGTAATAGAAAATTTGTAGATAGGTCTTTTAAGATTCATTGTATAGCAATAACTGTGGAATCATGCCCCTCAATCTACAGTTTGTATTTACATACGTGGTGGTAATGTTGAAACAAGGTACAGTACAATAATACATTGGAAGGCACATTGTTTATGGAATTTTTTTTTAATACATTCGATATTAATTCGATTTGAATTCCTTTTAGCTAAAATGGAATCTAAAAATATCATTAGACCGTAGCACTAAATAGTTGTTTGTGGAAAGTTTTAGATTGTGGGACATTTTATAATAAATTTACTCTCAAGGCTGTAACTTCAAGGAATTGAATAAAGGCCAAATACATTGTTTCTCACTCCAGGAAAAGTACTTTGCATGAGATGCATGTTGGGCCATGTGTGAATTACATGTTGCTTCTTGCCATCCTATTTGCGTATGTGTATTAGGTATGAAACTTTGTCACACGTGTGATGACGTGTTAAGAGCAAACCATAAGGGACCAAGCATGCTTTCATAAGGCATTGGACAATATTAAAAGAGACATGTCGATTGCGGTCTAAAATTGTAGACTACTCCTATGTGCATTTATAATGGTCGTTTGTAACTTCAAGATATAAGCCTCTTGATAAAATTAGAAGCGTGTTTCTGTCTACTTATATCACAATCAAGTGGTATCTATCTCTATTTGTAAGTGAGCGATCTTGTGTGGCTAGCCAAATTCCTCACACCCTACACATATATAAGAAGGTTTTCAAGAGGGCAAAATATATGCGCCAATCAAATGGTGAACCTTAGGGTCAAGAGGGCAGATGTGCTAAACTCTCTTATTTGGGCTTATGAGAAAGGATATAACGAGTTACTGGGTTACTGGGTAGAGGCGGGAAAAACTATTGGGCCAATTTTAATTGTGGTATGTGATGTTTAATTTTAATTGTGGTATGTGATGTTTATTGGAAGGTGTGTATAGCTCCGGTTCGGGTGACCACACCACCACCTTTCTTGTGTTTGCCATTCTCGGCCCCGTTGCCTGTGGTTTGTAGTTTTCCATTGGCTTCCTTTGTTTGGTGGTTTCGATCTTTGTTGTGGTTGCTTATGGATGTTGAAGTTTGCTTATTTTCCAATTTTGCAGCTTGGAGTGGCTTGATCTCCGGCGTCTTCTTGAGGTGTTGGCCGGTGATGCGTTGGAGGTTGCTCGGTTCGAGGTGCTCTGGTGGCGGCTGGGGTAATAGGCTGCTAGGTTTTTGTTTTTTGTTTTGTTGTTTTGGGCTCAAATTCTTGTTTTGGGTTGGGCTTTCTTTGCTGTGTGGGAGGTCCATCATTATGCTTTGTGCTTCACTTGTATTTGGACCGCCTTTTGTATAAATTTGTTCTGTTGGTAATAAAAATTACCTTTGACCAAAAAAAAAAAAAACAAACAAACAATATCATTCACATTGAGGGAGAGAGAGTGAGTTTAGTCTCACAATGAGCTAGTAATAATATGGTTTAAATTCATTTGTGGCGAGAATTAACCTCTCACTTACAAGATACAAGTGAAGAGAAATACCGCTAAATCGTAGTACTAAGTGACTACATCTTTTAGTTTGTTAATTCCTCGTTCTTAATGTTATTATCCTAAGATTTCTTGTACCTTCATTACTTGTAGTCGCATGAATACAATCACAATATTATTATTATCATTATTATACGTGCTTGATAAATTCGATACGTGATTGTGACCTGAATTAAGTAAACAACCTTCTTGTTGGGACGTTGATATGTATTGTTTTGAGCACCAATCAATAAACACGAACAATAAGGAAGAAAACGAACCAGGCATTAAATTTGAAATGCTCATGTGAAGTGGAGATTCCACCTCAAATAGCCAGCTTCCCCCAAAAGGTACTATCATCAGTACTTCAACATTGCAGTTTGCGTACTTGACCAGAAAACCAAACGTAAAATTATTAATAAGTGGAAATTTGCGTACTTACTTGACAACCAAACGTAAAATTATTAAATTGTTTTATCAACGTAAGAAGAAAAAAAATAAAGGAGGCAGCAGGTGAGAGCAAGACAATGACTGGCATGACACTGAAAGTTGGGTTCCGTCGTAAAAATATTGTAATATAGGGAATAATTTAACTTATTTATGAGTTTATGCAAGATCATTTTTTTTAATGTGAAATTCATTCTCAACGGGATGACCTAGAGCACGTGTAACCGTTTGGCTTCACACGTGGGACAATCTGGCTTTGATACCATGAAGAAAGTTGAGATTTCATCATAAAACTAATTACCAATATAGGAAGTAGCCCAACCTACTTACAAGCTCATGCAAGATCCCTCCTCTCATCAATATGAGGTTCGTTCTCAACAACAACTACATAATTTCAGTAACGTCTCATACCAATAAAATAATAATGTGTAAGTTTTTATTGACATTTTTATTTTTTTGACACAAAATACCACGCCTCGATGTCGTATACAAGAGTTGTTCTCAGCGGGTGGAGGAGAAAATGTGCTTTTAACCGGTAAAAATGGTCGGATCGTCTTCGATTGCATCGACGGAGAAATAAATAATTCCAAACTTTAGTGAAACAACTGCTGCCTAACTTTTCCCTCCCTCCCGCCAACTCCTTACTCTACGGGAAATTTTTTATTGTGGCCGGAACACAAGTGATACATATGCTTTAATAGAAGTGGTGATAAATTTTTTTTTTTTTTAAGTTATTAACTTTTTATCACACATATCCCATCATTTATGTAAGAATACGTGATGTATCATCTCATCTCATCTCATCTCATCTCATCTACCGATCATACTGAAAAATCTCTTATACTCTGCTACTAACTCCACGCTCTCTCTCCCTCTCCCTCTCTCTCTCTCTCTCTAACTGACATTCAACTTACCCTCTCCCTTTTCAAGCAATCATGCAATCATCCAATCATCCATCCGTGAACAAAAGCAAGCGCGAGGGTAGTTGTATGTTAGGCAGTCAGACTCTTTCAGTTTTACTCTGGCGTCTGTCCCTCTCCCTATTTATTAATAAATAATTACAAACAATTTTCCTCTCCGTATTAATAAGTATTATCATCATCATCAGCATTATCATCATAGGCTTATAGTTCATAGGGATCTTCTTTTCCAGTTGTTAGAGTTTCTTGCCTTCTCCGCCATCCCTCCCTCCTTTTCTCCTCCCCAGTAATATATATATACACACACACATACGTATATAACTGGGGAATATACTGGTTGTGTTGGTGTTTTGATTCTTCAAGTGTGTTTGTAATAATATATATATAGTTTGGGTATATTGATTGTGGGAATTAAAACAGAGGAATTAATTTGAATATGATGAAGAAGGAGAGTAGAGTGGTTTACCAGGCTGCAAAGGAAGTTGATCTGAGTGCAGGGAGCTCCCAAACCTACTTGCGAGCCAATGTCAAAGGTCCCTTCCCTTCCCTTCCACTTGTATATATCTTCTTTCTTTTCTTTTCTAGCTACTTTAATTATGTTCTTTCTTTTTACTTTTAAATTTTTTTATAATTTGTGTATGATCATCGCCTCACTACATCGTTTTAGACTGTCAAAGAAGCTGCAGGTTGTCTATTAACTATCAGTCTTCTCAAATTTGGTGATCACTGGATTAACACTGGACAAAACATCCAGTGATTTTCTGTGCTTGATTTGCTTTAATCTACTGTTTCTAAGCATGTGCTTTAGTGAAATTTAGAAATTTTCGATTTGTTCAAATGTGTGTAATGTATCTACGCACTAAATCTCATTTGCTCTGTAGCTCCTCGTGTGGCTGGATTTCTGGTCAAGGTGTTCGCATGGTTTTTGGAGTCCCGGATCTTTGGAACCTTGATATTGTACATACTCAAAAGAGATAACTTAATTCATAAGGTACACACCCACTTTTTAAATGTCTCTTGTTTTTTCCATTTATCTGGTAGCCTGGTAGGGGAAAAAGCATGAAAGCATTCGATTGTCACAAGCAAATCCGCCATCCTATCCAATAAGCCGATCAAAATTGGATTGGATCAGTCAGTTTGGGCGGGTTGGATGTGTCACCGTTGTACCTTAGTATTAAGGTTCTTCTGTTTCCACCGAAATGCTTGCTCATTATATGCAACTCCCTAAAAGGAATTTGCACACCATTTTTGTAATGAAGGAGCCACTATAACTAGTTGATCACTGCACGTCCATCATCCGTTCTCAGTTGCTGAGAAATTCTTTGAACTTTGCAGCTGATCTCAAATGCTGAGATGGAGGAGGCACCTGTGTATGTTCCCATACATCCATTTGACGGTATGTATTCTTGACTTTATCTTTGCCACTAAATCCCTCTGAAATAGTCTATCACTTTGTATCAAACGATCAAGAAACCAGCAACCATTAGGATGTATTATGTTCATAACTAATGTTAAGGTACCAAATTACTACTTACTCTTACAAATGAAATTTTAATCAGCTGCTGCATAAGCTAAAGCTGGTTGGCAATGGAGTTACTGACCTGATCCCGTTGAGCGGAAATTGATTTTTTTTTTTGTGGAAAATAGCACTTGCATCCATTTCAACTTCACCCTCTGTTGTCTTAGAAATGATTTTTACACGGTGATGAATTTTGTCTCATTTTACAATTTGTAATGAGATTTAGTTTTAAAATCTTGTTAATGCAGATGAAGAAGAACAAGATGTCAAACATGTAGGGGCTGATTTGTCTCCACCCGAACTAGTTCAGCAGGCAACGGAATGTCTGCCTCAGTCCTTAGAAAAGAGTCAAAAGACATTTAATGGTTTAAACTCCTCTTTTCGTTCTTGGACAATATCGGATTATTCAAGAGCCTATACCTCTGGAGATGTAACTCCTCGAACGGTATGTAATATTTTTGCCACTGTTCTTTTCTTCTTTCAATACTCTCTGCTTACTCCATATACTGTTTTCATCGTTATTTGTGTTGATCAGAGCCAAAGGCCAAAGAGATTAGCGCTTATTCACTTCTTTTTTTTCTGTTTCGACTCAGTTTTTATGTTTCCTAGTTATAAATCCCCAACTACAACTAAAAATAAAACGTATTCTGTACTTCCACACCCTCATAGGCCTTTTTTCTTCTATTTCTGCAGGTTGCGGAGCGCCTTATAGCTGCCATCCGTGAATCTTATACTCCATCATTTCAGATGTCATTTTTTATCAACTATGATGCTGAAGATATTTTAAAGCAAGCAACTGAATCCACTCTTCGGTATGAACAAGGTACTTGTGGAGACTTAATTGTATTCTTGAGGACATGGTAATACACCAGCATTTGAGGTCGAATGGAGAATTTTTTTACTACTCACCTTGTGATGAAATGCATTTCTACACTGATTTTCATCTCTCTCTCTCTCTCTCTTTCTCTCTCTCTTAAACTGGGAAGTTTCAGTCGCAGATACTTAAAAATCAAGACTCCTCGGTTTTGAAAGCATGTTAAACTTCGGTGGTTTTTCCAAGTCATATGGGCCAACTATTGTTTCTTATTCCCTGCCAAATCCTGCTACACACTCTTATATCATCCGTATTACGCTTCCTTTCCAGGAGTGCCTATTTCAGCTCTGGATGGGGTACCAATTGCAATCAAGGATGAAATAGATTGCTTACCGTATCCCACTACAGGTAACTTACGTTTCAGGTTTTCCGTTGACAGGACAATTCATGTCAGCCAACATTCATATTGTACACATTATAATCACGGTCTCTTTAGTTCAAATTTGAGTAACAGTTTCACAATCTGAAAACCGATTACTAGGAGGTACAAAATGGCTGCACAAACTAAGACCTTGCACAGATGATGCATGCTGTGTTAAGTGCCTCAGACTATGTGGTGCAATAATTGTTGGGAAAACCAATATGCATGAACTTGGAGCTGGAACAAGTGGGATAAATCCCCACTACGGGTAAGATCGATCTAATACTCCACATTATATTACCAGAGAGAAATTTTCCTTATCCTATAGAGGTCTTCCTATTTTCGAGACTTGGGAGCAGCCTCTCCATAAATGGGGGTAAGGCTAGCCGACATTCACCTCTCCCAGACCCTGCGTAAAGCGGGAGCCTTGTGCACTGGGTACGACCTTTTTTTTTTTATCTGTTTTGTTCTGAGTCAATATCAACTGAGATACTAGACTCCATGCCCTAATTGCCGGAAAAATATCGCTGTCATATTATTTTCTCAGTTAGTTCCGTGATCTCAACTGTTATCAGCATGTTTATTTTAAGTCTGCTGTACTGTAGGGCGACCAGAAATCCATATGATCGCAGCAGGATAGCTGGAGGCTCTTCTAGCGGATCTGCTGCAGTGGTGGCTTCCGGATTATGCCCTGTTGCTCTTGGTGTTGATGGAGGAGGTAATTTATTTCTCTCGTGGAAGAAGTTCGTGTTGTAATATAATTTTCATTTATCACATTAATTATCATCGATAACGTCATTTTAATAACGTTGTGAGAGAAGAGCAAAAGGGTCTATTTTTAGGTAGAACCAGAAGGTGAAGGGAGAGCAAAGTTTACACAATGGAGTAGGGAAATTTGGAAAACTTATGTCCTCATGCCTGCATGTGTGTGTTTGTGTGTGTTGGAGATAAATACGTATTGTGCAGGAACTGAACAGTGTATTTCATTTGTAACATATCATTAGGATCTGTACGGATGCCTGCATCTCTTTGTGGTGTTGTTGGTTTTAAACCCACCTTCGGGCGAGTACCTCATTCGGGGTAAATTAGTTGTTCAATATTCATCTAGTACTCTCTCTTGTTTCATTTGTTTGAAGGTTTATTACCATCATTCCATACTGATTTGGTTTTTTTTTTTTAGCGTTCTTCCTCTAAATTGGACGGTTGGGATGGTTGGAATACTAGCAGGCACTATTGAGGATGCATTTATAGTGTAAGTAATGCTCTTTTTCTATGTGTTTGTAGAGGCCTTTTAGGATATTGAGGTTACAGCTTTTTCATTTCACGATCTGCAGCTATGCAGCTATTAGTGCGCGACTTCCGCCACATCAACCTACTGTATCAGTAAGAATGCTGTTCTGCATATTGATTAAAGCTCTTTGTTACCATATACGTCTTTTCCTGTTGTGAACTTATTATCGGATAATTGGCATTTGCTTTAAGTATCCAAATTTCAGACTCATATTGTTTTCGTAGCAGTCTTAGCGTTCACCTTTGCTTACCTTAGTTGTTTTTCTTTCCATGCTTGTGATTTTTGATTGAAAATGTTCCGGCAGCCCAAATTATATTTTCCGCTGTTGAATCCAACAAAGTCTATATCCGGTATAAAATTGGCAAAGTACGGAGAGGTAAGTGACCTGCAGTTTCTCTACCTTATCACATATATGATGAAAAATTACATTTCAAAGATAAGTGACAACTCGTTTTTATGTATTAAATGAGTTCTCGCTAACATTTAGTTATTTGATTGTCAAAACCACTAATTGGCTCGATTAGTGGTTTAATGATTGCAGTGATGATATCAGAGAATGCTGTTCTAATGCCCTGGACAGGCTTCACAAGCAATACGGCTGGAAGGTACTCGCTGTCAATTGCTTGCTTCAGAAGCACTGTGAAAACTTGTACACTTTCCATGATTACTACATAGTCAATACAGGAGCCGCTATCGATTACTTTCTAATTTTTTTTATTTTCTTCTTCTTCATCTGTAGACGGTAGAGGTGACCGTACCAGAGATAGAGGTGATGCGCCTGGCACATTATACAACAATCGGATCTGAGTGTACCGCTTCGCTTAGTAATTCTCTTGAAAATCTGTACGTTGTTGACCACCACGGTTTTCTCTCAACTATCCTTTTCTAACAGACAAGAAATCCAAAATGCTGACATAACAAACTCATAAAAATAGGGATTACAAAGAGTTGGGATGGGATGTAAGGGTAGCGCTTGCGGTCTACGGTTCTTTCAGCAGTAAAGAGTATATAAAGGCTCAAAGAATCAGGTAATCTTTGGAATATATATCGCTAACTGCTAAAATTTTCAATTATTTTTCGTGAAACAAGCGATATTACACTTTAAACTAAAAGTTTCAATTTCATCAAAACTAGAACCTCTTACAAAGGTGTCAAAGTGGTTTAACATCAAAACTCAAACGCTTAATTTACAAGTCCTATATATTCATTTGAGAAGTGGTCTGTATATCCACAGGAACCGGCAGATGCAGTTTCACATGAATATATTTGCTCATGCAGATGTGATTGTTTCTCCGACAACAGGGTAACAGACTGATTTTACGAGATAACACATGAAACATCAGATGACATTTTGAAACATGTGTTTTCGATTGAATCTAATTACGGACATAACAGGGTAACTGCCTACTCGATTTTCGATGACGCTCTACAAACCGGCGAGCTTGACTACATAAATGGAGGTATGAATGAATCGACACGCCCAGAGTCACAGATCCGCTACTCAAATCAGCACCATCGATCAACTGCTTTCATGTTTTGATAACATTAGTAGAGTGATGTGATTACAAAAAACGCTTACAACGGAATCTAATCAGTTTTCATTTACGCAGCTGCGCTTGTTCGATACTCGATAGCAGGAAACTTTCTGGGGCTACCGGCAGTGAGCGTTCCGGTATGCATGCATGCACGCATCATCTCGTCATTACTACACACAACCTTTTTAATTACTTGGGATTAATATTAAGCAGATAATTTTTGTGTGTTTGTGTTTTGTTTCCTTGATAGGTTGGATACGACCGAGCAGGGCTGCCAATTGGTCTGCAGCTGATAGGGAAGCCATGGTCTGAGGCAACGCTTATTCACATAGCCTTTGCGCTGCAGGAACTGTATGTCTCGGAGTACAGAAAGCCGGAAGTTTACTACGATGTGCTAAACCAACAAAAATAATTAAGGTTTATAATCAAGGAAGAGTTGGCAGGTAATTAGCAGCAGATTGTTCAATTTGTAATGGTAATTTACACACCATTGACACCAAGACCGAATCGTATTGATAAATAGGTAGTGTTTGTGTGTTTATGATTATGGATTAAGTTAATAAAATGAGAAATGTTCGTGTGTGTTTCGAAGAAAAAGGTGGAAGAAATTCTATATTTTCTTTATTTGAAGTCTTTACAGAATATATGAAATTTCAAATTTATTTTACCGTCGAGTGACGAGACAGATGTTGGGTCAAAAACATGGTAAAAAAAAGAAGGAAAGGAAAAAAGATGGTCCGACCTACCGGATTCGAACCAGTGACCTAAGGATTTCTGTTATATTACAACTACAGTCCTCCGCTCTACCAACTGAGCTAAGGTCGGTTTGATGTTAAGGACCATAGCTCTATCAATCATATTAATATACCACCCTCATAACTGAAAGAGTGTTGGTTCGTTTCCCACCCATCATAATTAGAAATTAGGGGTGATTTGACCCAAAAAAAGAGGAATTAGGGGTGATTTTCAAAAAATCGGATCAGAAATAAGGCTTTCAAATTTTAAAATCGGATTACTTTTCAATTCGGAATATGAATAGTTTTGGAAATTTCAAAACCTAATTCCGAAATTCATATATTTTACAAGTATTTGAATATCGTGGTATTTGATACATTCTGATGTATAAATTCATTTAGTTTGTGGTATAACATCTCTCTATCTCGCTGAAAGAACTAAAGAAAACTAACGAAAAGTCTAAAAAAACTTCCCTTTGAATGAAAAGTCCAAAAGAACTTCCCTTTTAATGAAAAGTCATTTTTAAAAGTATAATGAATAGTATCAGGAAAATGTATAAATGTGATTTTTCGTTAAAAATGAACCGTACAAATAGTGTTTTGTTAAAACTTCCAAAAAACTATGATGGGGTGGTTTAGTCTTTCTTTACCTACCTTCTTTGCTTTTGACATTTTGGTGCCCTTATCTGACCTTTTGTCACACTTTATCCACGAGCTCGTCACAAATCCACGCTTTATACACCTTTTTTTACTCAGATGTCAATTCTTGTCACAAAGTCTTCAACTATGACCCCCTACTTTTGGCCCATCACATCTCTCCTCAGCTGCACACTATAGTGTTATGTGGTTTTAAAGTCGCATTTTGCACTATTTGATAAGATTACGACTGCACAAGTAGCTCCCTCACTCCTATTTTTCGTTCATCCAGTTGGTTCTGTTGATTCGTTTTCTTTAACGGTGGCCTTGCGATGGCGGCCCAACTGATTTGGTGGAGGTGGTTGTCTTCAGTCTCCAAATTTAAGAAACGGATCACCTAGAACATACTTCTCCAACTGATTACCTAACGATTATATACCAATATTCAAATCCAAATTCTAGAAGCGAGGTGATTTCAATCGTTTTGGACTACGAATTTAACAAGTAATCGTAATAATCATCCGTGTACAGTGTACTTTCCCACTGCTGGAACAATTTTCCCGGCAACCAAACAGAAATCACATAACAAAAAATTACCAGGAAAACAAAAACGGATCCATAAAGTAGAATTGAAGACAGAGCTTTACTAAGAAATCGAACTTATATTACTTGAAAGTAAAGGTCCAAATTACATCAATACTAAATGCTACCATGAAAGACACTTAACCGTAATAAACCCTAATTCCCCACATATCGACATGAAATTCCCAATTTAACCCCCGAAACCGTAGAGGGTCCTTCCTTGCCTCTTCAGAGCATACACCACATCCATGGCGGTCACGGTCTTCCTCCTGGCGTGCTCGGTGTAAGTCACGGCATCACGAATCACGTTCTCCAGAAAGATCTTGAGCACTCCTCTGGTCTCCTCGTAGATCAGACCGCTGATACGCTTCACGCCACCTCTACGAGCGAGACGCCGAATCGCAGGCTTGGTGATACCCTGGATGTTGTCCCTCAGAACCTTCCGATGTCGTTTCGCCCCTCCCTTGCCCAAGCCCTTGCCTCCCTTCCCTCGGCCTGTCATTTTCTCGGGAAAATATTTTGGTTGAGAAAGTTTGATTTTTGGTGGGGTGGTTGGGGTTTTGGGTATTTAAATTGTTGGGGGTCAGGGGCTTGCAACTTTGAAAGGTTGGCGGGGTTGATGTTGGCCGTTGGATGCGGGTGCTCATCGAGGGCTTGAGAGCATCGATCCGCGTCATGTTGTGAAAGTGGATTTCTGTCGTTGATGGTGTGTAAATCTACGGTTGAGAGCGGTTCGACTTTGGTATGGCACGGATTGTGCTTTTTAGCGATAGTTGGCTTGGCTTGGCGGCGTTTGAAAGGTGGTGAGCCCAAGAGCGCAGAGGGATTTGGGGTTTGAAATTTGAGTTTTAGTTTTTTAGTTTTTTTAATTATGCGCTCGATTTTGATCATTTTCAATATTTGGATTAAATTTTTAACTCATAATTTAAATCTCTACTAATTAATAAAACACTCATTGTCAACCAAGATCCTATGAAATTACTAGTTTAACTCTCTAATTAAAATAGAACATGAATAAGAAATATGAGGCATAAATGTAATTTCACACAATCAAATTATATTTTTTTTTTCAAAGTTTCACTTACATCTAATCCTAACATATCTCTAATTAACAAATAAATAAATAAAATAAAAAATAAAAAATAAAAACTTCATACTCCCACATTCTCTATCACTCTCTTCCTCCCTCTTTCTATTTCAAAAACAAAAATAAAAAAATTTCTCACACACTTTGTGTGTGCCCATTTGCAAGTTTTAATTAAGAAATCGTTATTTTTTATCATATTCGATCTCAGTTTTTTAATTTAGTGTATTTAAAATTTTAAAATTGTCTAAATTTTAAGTTTTAACTTAAAACTTATTTTAGACCCAACCATTTAAAAATGATTGAGTTAGTTTATTTATTTTATTATTTTTTTTAGAACAAACGATATTATCTACATTGAGAGGGAGGGGTGGACTTAATCTCACAACAGGATAGCAGTAATCTAGTTTAAATTCGCCTTTGGTGAGAATTAAACCTAAGACCTCTCACTTACAAGGGAAAAATAATACCAGTAGACCATAATATTAAGTAGTAAGTTTAAAACCTAAATTTTGATAGGCGGGCCTTTTAATCCTGACCTAAATTCTAGGTTAAATTAGCCCAAATTTTAGTTTTTAACCCATAACTTATTTGATGTCTAACTACTACAGAAAAATTGAATTAGTTTAAAATCTAAATTTTAAGTTTTAGCCCAATGATTTGAGATGGTCTTAGACAAGATGTTGCTTCACTTTTATGGTGATTTCGCTTCACCCTTTGGTGGTGACCTGGGCTTCGCATTCGTCTTGAAGCAAAGAGACGGTGCCGCCACTGTTGCCACCGCAAAAGCTAACCAAACGGAGGTGTACTACCGGACTGGTTTTCTGTTCTCTCTAGATGGTCTCCCTGCTTCACTTGCTGCAAGTTTGTTCTTTTTTTTGTTGGTTTTCCCAGAACCTTGTTTCAGCCTTTTTATTATCTGTAACGAAGTTTTTTCTTTAGTGTTTGTACTTCATTCGTACCCTTTTTAATGAAGTTTCATGCTTCAGAAAGCAAAAGCGCAAAGCCCGTTTCCGGGCTCGCTCACATTGAGTGCATAACAAAAGGAACTAGCTTCATAAATATGTACATTGTGCGCAATGACAACTGCGAAAACATGTGCAAGGAGAAGATGTACCATGCCTAAGATGCCTTGCCTGCATACTCGTACCAACTCACATGCCCATGAGGACAAGAAGATCATCGGCCCCTACATCCCTCCGATCCTTTGCAGCCTTCCCCCGGAAAGCTTCCTTAGCAAGTTTCTTCTTTTTGTCTTGCAACTCTAGTATCCTCTCTTCAATGCTGTCTCGAGCAACAATCCTCACAATCTTCACATCTTCCTTCTGCCCAATCCGGTGAACGCGATCCATTGCCTGTTCCTCAACTGCTGGGTTCCACCATGGCTCCAACAAATACACTCTACTTGCAGCTGTAAGGTTTATACCTGTTCCTGAAGCCTTGAGACTTGCAAGCAAAATCGTGGGCGCATCTTGTCCCGTCATCCCAAATTCTTTGATTACTTGTGCCCTTTTCTTTGCATTCATGGACCCATCTAACCGCAAAGTCTTAAAACCAGCTGCTTTGAGTGGCTCTTCAAGATATATCAGCATCTTTCGGAACTGGGAAAACACTACTGATTTTGTAAGTGGGTTTTGCTCCCTCGATGCGACAAGAAGTTTTAAGAGAGCATTTACTTTTGACGACAAGGTTGTTTTCAAGGATGCTGTGTTGTCACTGTCTGAAGCTGTTTGAGGGGCTGAGAACAGATCAGAATGTGATAAAGCATGGCGGCAAAGGGGACAGCAGGGTTTTGTGCGCTGAAGGGTTTTCAGAATACAAGCTTGGCAAAAAATGTGAGCACAACAAGTAATAACAATATCCGTTGGCGGAGAAATGCAAATAGGACAATCAAAATCTTCACCGTCTTGCAGCACCTCAACAATCTTTTTCAGCAGCTCAGGGTTCTTGGACGCATCTGCGTACAATTAAGTACAGAATAACATAACATGTGAAACAGAAATTTGATATTAATTCAGAACATTGCACTAAAAGAATTATATTACTTGATACCAAAATGCATATTCCCAAGATACTTCATTAGTAGCTGAACATATCAACATTGAGCTTCTTTTTGAACTCGTCATACATACTTTTTTTTTTTTTTGAGTACATCGATATTTTTACACTAAGGAGAGGGGGAGTTCGGCTACGCCACACAATGGGCAGCCTAAGTCATACATACTTATATTTGAAAGGTATATGATATCTAATAGGATTATAGGAAACAAATAATATGGTGGCATATGCGCAGGTGAGCATCATTCATCACATTAAAATTTTACTAAGTCACATGACACTATAAAAATTGAGCAGCAGCAGCAGAAAGTACTAATAAATTTTAATAATAAATCTAAAAACCAAACACAGACACCAGTTTCCAAAGGTTATGGCGGAAACATAATCCTAAGAATAGAGTTGGACGTGAAATTCAGTAGCTACCTATTTGGGAAAGCGAGTGTACAAGTACTGAACAGAGGGAGAATCCAAGAAGGTAAATAAGTTGAACAGAATCCTGACAA